TTAAATTTTAACATTTTACTGACAAGCTAATTTAAAAAGCATCTAAAGATTAAAATATAGCTGGGCATGGTGATGTGTCCCTATAATCCCAGCATTTGGGAGGCAAGAGGATCATTGTGAGTTCAAAGCCAGCCTGGGCTGCATAGTGAGCTCAAGGCCCACCTGAACTACATAGCAAGACCCTGTCCCAACCACCCCTCACAAAAAAAAGTTTACAAAGATTTTTATGCCTATGCCCTGTACATACAAAGGGCGTGGGGGAGGATTTGTAGCCCACGGACAATACCTAGTGATGTTCACATCAAACCTAAAAGTTAGGCTAGGAAGCAAGGCCTTTCATTAAATAACATTCTTACCTCATCTGTCCCTATCCGATAAAGCCCTTAATTTTCAGCTGAGTTGTTCTCATCCATTTTCCCCTTCCTGTCTCTGTTCTGGTCCCTCCATCTGGAAGGGCAGGAAGGAAGAATAATAAATGTCCATTATTTCTTTCAAGACCAAACCCTGACTATATGTGTGTATGTGCATGTTTGCAGGATTTAACCTAGGGCCTTGTACATGCTAGGCAAGTGCTCTACAACTAAACTATATCCTTAGCCCTCCCTGTCTTTGTTTTATCAGCATAAATACAGGAATTTGTACAATTCTATACTACCACCACTTACTTAGGTTCCCCTAATTGTTCAAAGATGTTTCTCATTTCTCCATAATGGGACTGTATCCATATTGCATTGAGTATACACTAAATGTGTATCTGTTTTATAAGTGCAGTGGAATCTAATAAGGTAATATTAATTATTCAGGCCCCTTCTAACTTTGTACCAATCCCATACTCTTCCTTCCCCTTGATTTTCTTGCCTGTATGCAGTCCACTATCTTCAAGCTTAATGTAAGGGCTGATGCTGGTCATGAAAAGATAACACAGTTTGTTCTTTTGGTTTCATATTTTTTCAGTTCATTTCCATAAAAACATAATATAAAAGGCAATGCCACCATCTTCCCCTCCTGGGGGTGATCCATCAAGACAGTCTGGGCTGCTCCAGTGGTTCACAGCTCATCATGAGATATGTGCAGGGCATGGTCACATAGATCTGCAAATAGTACATAACAATTTGATGAAAAATACCACTCTCACACTGATATATGCCACTATCAAGAAAAACATCAAATCAAATTTGCACATACACCTAGCACTTTTTTTAAGTCATAGAGGCCACCACCATTTTCAAAGCATATACATATAACAAAATAGCCCTATCGCTTCTCACTTGTATCTTCAGTCCACAAATTCTAATAGCTGGCAGGATGATAATGTAGAGGAACAATCCAAGTTGGAAGAAAAGAAAGGGGAATGGAAGCCAACTTGAATTAATTTCAGGGGACTTTGAGGATGAGAAATGTGTCAGTTCCATAGGGCTATAAGAACAGGAGATAAAGTTGGAGTAGCTTACCTGTTCGTTTACTGCAAAGTTTGTCTTTAACATTGTCAGCCTCTCGAGAAAAGAATTCAATAAGTTCATCCTCATATTCCTCCACGATGCTTTCACACTGCCAACCCAAGGACAAGCGTGTGAGACCAGGCAGCAAGAACAGGCCTTAGACCCGAACCTCCAGAAAGGGTGACAACACTGAACCAGTCCTCTACTTGGGCTCTCCAACAGCCTCCCTACTTTCCAAAAACAGCTACCTTTTCCCACAGCTTACCGCAAACTTGAGGGTGCCACTGATATCTGAATCAATTCGGATGCCCTGTAGGTCCAGTTCACTGGATTCTCCATTCCGGCTCACAACACGTACATAGTTCTTACGATGGGTGGAAGGGTCAATCTGTTCTCCATACTCCTTCATTCGGTCACATACTTCCTCTAGCAGCTCTGTGAGGTGGGCCTCTGAGCGAGCATAAGGTACCTAGAAATGGCCTCAACCTTGGGTCACTCTCTTCTACCTGATACATTAGTAATTTATGTCCTTACTTGCCCTTCCAAATCTGACTCAACCAGCCTACTTTATTTGGTATTGGGAATCTAACTCAGGACCTCACACTTGCCAGGTAGGCCCTGTGCTATATCCCCAGCCAACTAACCTATTTTAAAATGCCTTTTCTAATTAAAAGTAGCATGATATTATTTATTAGCATAAATATTATTTATTTTTATAGTTTAAGTGCTTTAAAAGACAGATACCAGGGATGTAGCTCAGTGGCACAGTGCCTGCCTGGCAAGCATTAAGGTCCTGAGTTTGATTTCCAGTACCAACAAAAAACAAAACATAAATAGATGCTGGGTATGATGGCATCTATAATCCTAGTACTTGGGATGCTGAGGTAGGATTACCACAAGCCTGAAATACATAGCAGGACCCTGTCTCAAAAAAACAACCCAAGAAATAGGACAAGTGTCATTACCCCCAAAGTATAGGTAAGCAGAGACCTCTGATTAGTTCTAATCAATGCTCTTTTTTTTCCCCTTCCATACAGGGGGTTTAACCCAGGTACCTTTCACATGCTCGGCAAATGTTCTATCACTGAGTTACATTTTCATCCCTTTTCGGACAGAGTCTTACTAAATTGCCCAGGCAGGCCTCAAATTTGAGATCTTTCTCTCTCAGCCTCCCAAGTAGATGGTATTATAGGTGTGTCTCACTATGCTTGGTTAAGACTTTTATTCTTTTTTGAATGAATGTTTATATGCATACATACACAGTGCTATAGTGAAACATGAATCATATGGATTAGCGATATAGAGAATGGCTGATCAGGGCTCCCTGTCTGCTAATAATTTCTATAGCAGAAACGAGTATTAACCTTTGGAATACATGGGAGGCTTAGGCAGGAGGAACACTGTGTGAGGCCAGTCTAGGTTACATAGTGAGTTCAAGGCCAGCCTGCAATACTTGTGAAACCCTATTTCAAAAAATAGTAATAGGAGTCTGGAACTAGGAAGCAAGTATATAGCATATAAGCTTCCAGCCTTTTCCAAATGAGACAGAGCCAAATCTTTTTTTTGTTTTGTTTTCTTTTTTTTTTTTTTGTCTTTTTCCTTTTTATCGGTACCAGGGATTGAACTCACAACTGCCTGCTTGCAAGGCAGGCGCTTATGCTGCTGAGCTAAATCCCCAGCCCTTAGAGTCAAATCTTTTAGATCCGTCTCAGGATCTGTTTTCTTCATTTTTTAAATCAAGGTCTTTCTTGAATTCTCCTTCAAAGCCAGAGTGAGTTACTTTACTTGGGGGAACAGTAACAGTTACCTCTACCACTGACTGGCTGCCATCTGGATTGATCCGGAAAGATCCCATCTGAATGGTCTTCTTGGGATCCACCTGGGCAATTTCCCACTCTAGTTCATCCACTAGAGCCCTGCAAGCTGGGGCGAGGAGACAGAATTGGGGGGTGAAAATGGGGATAGGAGAACAAGTTCAAAGCAGAGATTTCCATTCATCTTTCTCCCATACCTTTGCTTCCTCCCTTCTTTTTATGCCTTTACCTCCACAGTGTAGATCCTGACTCCTTCGAGCCCAGACAGTTCCCAGGAGGGCCCCCAGAAGCAGGGCCAGCCAACCCCAGCTTTTCATCTTTAGCATATAACTCGCTCCACCTGAGTTTATTTTATTGGGAATAAAATATATATGATGAGTGGACTCTGTTTTTCTTTGCCCCCTCTCCCATTCCCCGCCACCTCCACTGCAGGCCTTCAAAGGCCTCAGTGTAGTTCTGACTACTTTCCAGGAAATGGTCAGGACACAACAAGGTCCCTCTGTGCCAGCGCTTGCAGGTCCCATTTTCCTAGATCGTGAATGGGAGAACGAGCTCAGAACTGGGGACTCTGTTCCAGAAACCACGCCGCCAGGTGAGGCCCTAAACGTTGGCACGTTAGCACTGTACCCAGAGGGCTCAAAGGGCTATGTGGCAGCTACAGACCTCACACTGACAGTGATGCCAGGCCCAAGAGGGCTACCAGTAAGGAGTCTTCAGTCAGGTCAGAAAGCGGGTGAGGCCTCTCAAGACTTGGGCCTATCTGGGCCCAACACACAAGATTCCTGTATCCCCACCTCCAACCTCTACGACTGCTTGTGTAGACCAGCCCTTTCCAAGGCTCCGCCATAGCTTTCGCTCGGGTCCATCCCACCGCTCGGGCACCCCGCAATCCAGCCGCCCGCGCCTCCCACCTCTGCTCGCTCTCAGGGCCTTTACCCCTGCGAAGGCACGCAAAGACTGCCAGACTCTCACTTTGGCCTCGGTGGCTTTCGAGTCTAAAACCTGGCTGCAGGGGAGCAGGTCTGTCTGGGCTTCTTGAAAGCAGAATACTTCGGCACTTTCCAGACTCCAAACGCCCGGGGAGCCACCGAAAACGGATCCGAATACCTAAAGGTAAACCTGAAACTCGGTGGTGCAAACCCCCTACGGTGACTGACCCCGAGCCCGCCCCTCCAAACTCTCGCGCGAACAGGCAGCCAGGACCCCGCCGCCGACCGCAGGACGGATACATGCGTGGCGAACAGATCCACGTGACCACCAGGCTTCTGCCGACTAGTAACCTCAAGTGGAGACCGAGGCGCCCATGGTTTATGGGGTCGGCTTTGGGGGGTGTATTGCGACAGCCGAAGAACCTTGAAAAACAAAGGTGCGCTGCTAGCCAGCCAAGAATTCTCTACATATAAGAAACTACATCTCCCAGGAAGCAGTGCGGCACCACAATGATCCTATCAGTAGCTACAGGTTTAAAGATACAGTGGGATTTGTAGTTCTTCATTTTACTTGCTTAATGAAACCGTACCACAGGTCCTCGACGATTTTAGGATACTACACACCTATAGCAAAGACCTAACGTTGTCCAGGAAAAACACACATATACGTTCATAATTTTGGCCTCCACAACTTTGTTTTAGGTAGAGAGCTGAACATAACTTTAAAATTTTTTCATTGTTAGGTAAAGCCATAATAGACAAGGAGAGCTGACATTAACTCTACTCATACCAGCCATTCTCTAATGAAAGACAAACAATAATATTCTTGTTTTTATTGTATAAAACATGCGGCTTAAAACAAAAGTTAAAAAAATAAAACTTGAGCCAAAAGAAGGAATGGAAGACAGATGCTTCTCAGCTGCCAAAGGAGTGAGCCAGCTGTTGAGCTAAACTTCCTCTAGGACCCACAGTCATTTTGTTTGCTTGTTTGAGGCAGGGTCATGCCACAAAGTTCAGGCTGGCCTTGAACTTGCTACAATCCTGCTCTTCCTGCCTCAGCCTCCCAATCCTCAACTGGAATTTACCAAAGTCCCTTTTGGCAGTAGTGTTGGCAACACTGGTTTGCTAGGGCCACCTAGGCTACATGCTGGCCCCTTCAGGTATCTCTCCGGCAGTTAAGAGACTTAAGCTAAATGTGGATCTCGTGTTGCAGCCTATCACTGTCCAGGACTTTAGTCCTTAGCCAGTGAGGAGTTTTAATTCAGGTTTTTTGCCTGGGTATTAATTACCTAGGATATTTATTAAGAACACTAATTACTTTCCATCAATTCTAGAATCTTTCTGGCCCACTGTTTTTGCAAAGGATAAAGAAGGAATCTGGCTCCTAGAACCTTTGCAACAATTTAGCTGCATTCCAAATCTATAAATAGCACCATCTGCAGACCCTAAGCAGGTCCGATTCTGGAAGTGGACAGGGTAAAGCCAACTTGGGAAGCGATCTCCCAGTTCTGGAACCATGGAACACTGACAGGAGAGAATGGATCAGAGTGCCAGCACTGAGGAGAAGACAGCTGCATCTGTCAGAAACAAGAGATCACAAATCTTAGTTAAGGTGAATGGGGGAAAAAAAAACACTTTTTTTTTTCTTTTCTTTTGTATTTTGAGACAGGGTCTTGCTATGCAGTTTAGGCTGGCTTTGAACTCACTATGTAGCCCAGGCTGACCTCAAACTCATGGTGATCCCTCTGCTTCAGCTCCTTAATGTGGGGACTACAGGGATGCACCACCATGCCCAGCTGGGATATTTCCTATGAAGGAAGAATGCAACATAAAAATGCATGGAGCAGACCAGGGATATAGCTCAGTGGTGCAATGCCTGCCTGGCAAATGCAAGGTCTTGAGGTCAAATACTGGCACAAAAAACAAAAACAAAAAACTCATGGACCATCCACAAGTATTTTAGAATTAACAAGAGAAAATTATAGACCAATAATGTCTATTTCACTGTTAGGATTAAATGCTTTGTAAAGTGTTAAGTGCTTCACAAAGATAAGGTAGGGGCAGCATTGTTATTATTTTTATGGTGTTTATAATCTATGGAATCAAAACCTATCCAGTTTGATTTCCCTTGTCCCATCCAGATCTTACTCTTTGGACTTGTCTGGCTTTCAGGTTCAGGAACCTTCCAGTCCATTTTTCGTCCCTTTTCATAAAGACCTTTGAGTACTTTGTGGAAGGACTCAGGCTCAGTACCATTCTTGCTTAACTCCAAATACTTTCGGTAGAGCTGAAGGGCTGTGCGGGCATCCTCAATACTGTCATGAGTCTCCCCTTGAATTTTCAGGTCTAGAGTAAGCAGAGATGCAATAGTTTGGGACCTACGAAAGGAAGGTAAGAACATGTCCCACTACTCCCACCCTGCTAGCCAGAAAACAATTAAAAAAGAAAAGCATGCTCTCTGGCAAAGAGTCAAACACCTTCCCTAATGCACAGGAAGGGATACAACACTTTTCTTTTTTTTTTTTTTTTGAGACACAGTCTCGCTATGTAACCTGGACTGGCCTCAAATTTGTGGTAATCCTCCTGTCTCATCCTCCTGAGGGCTGGGACTACAGGCCTGTACTACCACACCCTTACTGAAGCAAATTAATTGTTACCACTAACTCAGGGCCAACCTATTCCTCCTTGGTCCTTCAACATGTTTCAAATTTGTTTTTTTAAAATACAGGGTCTTACTATGTTGCTCAGGCTGACTGTGAACTTACAGTTCTCCTGCCTCAACTCCCAAGTAATTAGGATTACTGGTGTATACTATCAAATTCAGCTAATATTTCCTACACTTAATCTTTACCAGAGGCCTAAAAGGCAGAGCAACTCACCCAGAAAATACCAAGCAAGGAATCGCAAGGAAATCATTCGCTTTCGGGGCATGTGAAACAGATAGACAGTGTCAAGGACTTGGTCTTTGGGCACCTGGCAGGAATAAAAATGTAGGAAACTTAAGTAGGAAATACATAAGGTTTACAATGCCAAAAATATGTTGTATACCTTGATTGGCCCTCCCTCAAAAGTGACTTTTTTTTTGTCTTTTTGAGACAGTGTCTCACTATGCAGTTCAAACTGGCCTTGAGCTCACTTTGTAGCCCAGGCTGGTCTCAAGCTCACAACAATCCTCCTGCCTCAGGCTTCTGAGTGCTGGGATTACAGGCATGCACTACTACACCTGGCTTCACAAGTGACTCTTAAAAGAGCATAGCCCGAACCATGAGGTTGATGACCCGGAAGTCCTTCTGCAGGCCATGTCCCACAAACTTCACTCCAATGTCAATCAGAAAACGAAGCTTTAAGTAGGTAGATTTAAGGGTTGTGAGGTGCTTGGAGGAAATTTTGGCATCAAGGTCTCCTGGCTTTATCCCCGAGTACTGAGTCAAGTAATCCACCACCTAGGAACAGAGAAAAGGACAAATCATTCAGGATGTGAGGTGCAGTCTCCTCCTACAACTCTTCCCAGGGTCCTTGGGCACTGTACATAAGCACAAGGTTTAAATCACTGGCACCTCCATATTTTAATACCTGCTCCTGGGTAGAGATGTAGTCATCAATGAAAGGGATACCCTCATTGGGCCCCTGGCCCCGAACACAGGTGATCCTTGCTACTGACATCTGGCTTGGTTTAATAGTAGACTTAGTGCCATCGCTGCGTAACTCTGCTTCTTCCTATGTGACAAGAGTTACTCAGAGACATACTTACAATTCCTAACACCTTTAGAGTTCTATTGCAGTGTCCCATTTGTTTGTTCTTGGTTACCTCATTAAGTGTGACAAATTCAGCATCAAGGCCCACCAGGTCCCCAACCTGTGGCATCTCACTCAGCATCAGTGGAATAAAGGTAGTATGTGTTTTTCGCTGCTTCCGTGCCAGGGAGGCTTCAGCTAGCAACACACTAGCCTCGATAGGATTCTTGACTGAAAGGGAAAATACAGAAGAGAGGGCCAGGGATTGGGAAGTACCTAGAGGGGAGGACCCAGGGTGGCTGATCAGAGAGATTCTGGATCTACTCTGTGATTCCCTCAGTAATCAAAGTATCTGAGTAAAAGATTATATCTGATAAACAGAACAGGTAGACAGAGCAGATTGAATCAGAAAATTATCAAGAGATATGCCAAAGAAAAAATAGAAATATGACAGAAAACAAGCTCTTCACTTTGGACTTTAGTTTAGAAAATTTAGAAAAATAACGTTACAAAAAAAATTATTGTTTAGAGGTACCAAATAGAGACTTAACAAGGAGCTCATCTCCAAAAGAAGAGATAAGAACCCCCTTAGGGATAAGAATTCTTACCCCTTAGGGATAAGAATAGGTGGACTCAAAATCATATTAAACCATTTTGATCAAATGCCTCATCTCCCCCGCTACCTACTCCACCCTCATGATTTCCAGCTTCGACATTTAAGGTCTAATAGGCAGAAATCTCTTTAGTATTCTGGGAAACATTAGCATTAATTAACCAGTCCTGAGCACTAACAAGCTATTTCTCAGATCTTTTCTGAAACCTAATTTAAACTGCCCCCACCCTTAGGTCTGCTTTATACCACTTACTATTCAGGTTGTATCTGGAATTGAGATTCCTCTTCACATAATAAAGGATAGCAGGTACTTTCCAATTCATGTCAAACTGTACTGACTCATGCTAGAGAAAAGCAAGGGGCTAGGTGTGTAGATCCGTGGGAGAGTGTTTATCTAGCATACATAAGGACCTGGGTTCAATCCCTAGCATTGGTAAGGAAAAGAAAAAATACCTATGGGCCTATGAATGTACATCCCTTTCCCATTCCCCAAACCAGACTGAGGCCAGGCCTCAGGTGTGATTTTAATTTTACTAACATCATTTATTCCAGACAACCCCTCCCTCTTGAATATGCCTGGAATGCTACAGGGCCCTGAGGATGAAGACACTAACAAAGAGGGACATAAAAGGGGAAATAAAACATATTGCAACTCACTTTATCAATAGGTTCAATAAGGAAGTCATTGAAGAGATACCACTGCTGGTGAGTGACACCCTGTAGAGACAAAGGCAGCTGCCAAATGGCTGGTAATGGCTGGACCATTCTGTTAGGAATTCCAGGACACAGCCAGGACCCCACTGTGACCTTTCCCAAGAGTGCTCATGGCTCATATGAACTCACCTCCTTGCGCTGGTGGTACGTCTCGCCGACTTTGATGTGAGCCACCAGGCTGCCCCCTGTGCGCGAGTCCAGGATGTGCACCACAGTAGCCATCAGGTCATACACACAGACACCACGCTCCTCCTCTGCCTTGGCCAGGCCCCACTGCGAGGGGGCACCCAGGCTGCTGAGCTATGTTTAAAGATTGGGAAGACCGGGAATGGGGATAAAGGGCAGGGAGCTGGGGATGTCAGGGATGGGGAACCAGGGTAGGTTATCTTCATCATAGCCTATCTATGACTCCCAGAACTGAACCAAATCACTGGGGAAAATCCCACCATTGGTAAATGTTAAGACTTGTTCTCTTCCTTAAGGTTCCACCTCCCCCTGCTCTGCTTCTACCACACCTTCTGTCCCTTATTCCCAGTTTTTCAACAACCTGCACCTCATCCCCATCAGTCCAATTGCAAACATCCAGCCCTTTGTTCTTGGTCATCTTCATCCGAATAGAAAAAGGAAGCCAGACATTTTTCAACTCCTCAATGGAGGAACACAACAGCAAACCTTCTGGACTCCTTAGTTCCTTCCTATCAGAACAGAATTACAAATGTACTCAAAGCATCTAGCCAGAAACAAGAGGAGCCACTGGGTAATTCAATCCTTTGATAACAACCAAGATGTTACGTACCGATCGGCCAGAGCAAATTCCTTATTCTTGGAGATCTCTCCACCATATTTCTTTATTGCCATCTTGAAAGCAACCTGAACAAGAAGGAAAAAATATCTGATTCCTTAAAAACATAATCCTATATGAAAGTCAGAAAGAAGAAAAAAATAAAAAAATCTACCTAGTACTTTGGGAGGTTGAGCTAGGAGAATTGCAAGTTTAGTCCAGTCTGGGTAATTTCGGGACTTAGAAAATTTTTTAAATAAGGGATGGGAATGTAACTCAGTATAAAGGTCTCCAGTAGTTAAAAAAAAAATTCAATCTCCAGTAGTTAAAAAAAAAAAGAGAAGAAGTAAAAGAAAAGTCCTGTAATCCCATCACTTGGGAGGCTGAAGCAGGGGGATGGTTACAAGTTCTGAGCTACACAGTGAGTTTAAGGGCAGCCTGAACTACATAGTGAGACCCTGTCTCAAAAAAATAAATAAGCTGGGCGTGGTGGCACTGTAGTCCCGTACTCAGGAGACTAAGGCAGGAGGATCATTAAGAGTTCAGACCAGCCTGGACTACAAAGTGTGCTCAAGGCTAGCCTGAACTGTACAGCAAGACCCTGTCTCACAACGACAGACAGACAGACAGACCGATGGAAAGAAAGAATTCCTAAAATCCCTGTGTTATGACCTAGTTCTTACCTCAGCCTGAATTCTCCAGAAATCTGCCTCTTTTGAACTGTTTACTTCACAATTAATGACAAGAATATCTGGGAGATGGCGGATGTTTCGAGTCTGAATCTGAGAAGACAAAACAAAGATCAGGATGGAAGTCGGGTGTGATGGTGCACTTTTGTAATCCCAGCACTTGGGAGGCTGAGCCAGGAGGATCATTGAGTTTGAGACCAACCTGGACTACAAAGTGAGCCCAAGGTCAGCCTGAACTGCATAGCAAGACCCTTTCTCAAAAAAGACAAACAAAAACAACAACAACACAGGATGGAGTCTACATGGAAAGAAACCTGGACAGGAATAGAAACAATCTGAGGTTGGTCCCTCAAACTGGGGTTTCTCTCATTCTTTTTTTTGTTTGTTGTTTTTGGTATTGGGGATCGAACTCACCACCTCGAGCTTGCCAGGCAGGGGCATTCATGCCACTGAGCTAAATTCCTGGCAGGTTTCTCTCATTCTGTATAGATCCCTGCTGACTGAGTGAATCCCAAGTGTGACCATAGCTGAGACACTAATGTATTAAGATTCTAGTCCAGGGCCACGACACTCACCGTGGGCTGGTACTTCTCACAGTTGTCACACCAGGCCTGGGTATTCTGCTCCAAGCAGATGCTTCGCTTCAGCACCTGAGCAAAGTCATAGTTCTTCCCAGTCTTATCTAAGAGGAAACTGGATACTTCACTCCAGGCTCTCCCTTCCGCTAGTTAGCTCCCCCAACATCCCTCCCTGCTGTTACAGGATATCCAGGGGGTCTTCCCAACCCAGCTTTAGGGTATACCACAGTTGCTACCCTCAGGGTAGGAGAGTGTGAAAAGCAGGGTGGATGACGTGCGCACGGTCTCACTGCCACAGCGGCAGAGGCTGCAGTTCTCCATCTCACAGCTGAACAGCTGCCCAATTACAGAGTCCCCCGATGAACAAAAGCTGCTAAGAGTGGGGAGGGTAATATATGCACACTCAGGAAGTTATGAGACTCTTTAAGGTCTTGAAAGCTTTAACTGTTCCTGTGTAATCCTATACCTGCCTCCAACACCTCGGTAAGCCTGGGGTACTTCCAGCTCCTGCATGTCCTGATGCAGTTGTGTGAGAATGAAGCGATTCCACCTCTGAATGAGCCTGGCCAGATTACCTTTGCCTGATGCCTCATCTGAGTCAGCCAGGATCAGGCCAAGGGCTGAGGCCTCGGGAATGGTACGGAATGCCCGAAGAAAATTACTGCCCTGGAAAGGGTATGAGGATGGGAAAGGTTATTTTCTCTCCTGTGGATAGTAACATAGCAATGTCCCTGCTTACTCTCCTCAATTCCTCTTCCATTTTAAATGTCCTAGGTCCAGGAACTGACCTGGCAAGGGTCACCACGAGAGAGGTCCAACATATGGAAGAGGAAGCCCAGCTCACATGCCAGGCAGAACTCTTTCTGGCAAAGGTGGTTCTGGATTAGACAGCGAACAGGCTCCAGGAAATAAAGCACCTGGAGGGAAGAAAAGGATAACTGGTACAGGAAATTGAGAGGAAGAGAAGTGGTAAGGTTAAGTGAGCTGTTAGAGAATACAAAGGACTCTACCAAAGCACTGGGGCTCACAGAGACCTGCAGCTGTGGAAGCAATAAGGAATGCTAAATGAGGCCAAGGTATGGTGGTCTCAGTCACAGAAACCTGGAAAGAAGCTGGACATAGTGGCACACACCCGTAATCCTAGCACTTGGGAAGTTGAGGCAGGAGGATCATCTAGGCTACATACTAATTTCAAGGCCATCCCTAACTACACCGTGATACCCTGTCTCAAAACAAAACTAAAAAACAAAACAAACACATGGAAACCTGGGAAGAGTAGAATAGGGGCTGAAGAGCAATGGGCAAGAAAGAGAGTAGGCAGCATGTTCTGTTTAATGGAAATCTCAGCCCTTACCTGAATCATGCAGTTACAGTAAGCATTGGGGATGTGGGGCTCTAATCCAGCAAAGAGGGTCTTATTATAGTGTTTGAAGTCAAAGTCTTCCAGCCCGAGCTTGGAATACTTGATGGTTACCTGAAACAGAAACAGTATGAGCAAGATGAGACTATCCTTATAGTCCCTGAAATGTTCCCAGGATTCCATGCCTTCCCTAAAGCCTCCCTCCTGGGTCCACAGTGGTAGGTGAAGGCTGCTTTTTTATGTGTTTTGGTGCTAGTGGTCAAGCCTAGGGCCTCATGCACACTGGCTAAGCACTGTATCACTGGGCTACCTCCCTAGTCACAGGGAAGCTTCTTGACTGAGACCTTCAGTTCTTTTTTATATGATATCCTTCCCAGGACATCCTTCCACATCCCACAGGTTCACTGACTTGGTGTTCCCGGGCACCTTGCGGTATTTCTTGGAAACCATGTGGAGATGTGGCTCTTCTTCCCGCCCTATCAGTGACTCAGTGACCTGGCTAGAGCTGTCAAATTCATTGTCCAACTCCTTTAGTCGGTAAGGAATCTAGGGTTTAAAGAAAAAAAGAGGTAACTCTGTTGTATGTCTTTTCTTTTTTTGTTTTGTTTTGTTTTGTTTGCTATGTAGCTCAGGCTGGCCTCAAACTCACTATGTAGCATAGGCTGGCCTTGAACTCGAAGTGATCCTCCTGCCTCAGTCTCAAGTGCTGGGATTACAGGTGTGTGCCACCATGCCTAGCTTTTGTATGTCTTAATAGTTTTCAGTTCCCTTTTATCCCAACATTGAGAAAGCCACCAAGCTATAAGCCTTCTATTTGCATAGTGTTCTCAGCATCCTCTGCTTCCTTTTTATTTCTACTACCATCTTTCTGCTCCATTACAGCTGGACAGCTGTGACAACTCCCCACTATCTGTCTATATTCACTCTGTCCAGCTACCAAAAGAACCATCTCAGAATACTGATTTCAGTGCAAGACTTTTTCCACTATACACTAGCATTCAAAGCTTCACTATCCTCATCGTTTCTAACCTCTAATTTCCTGCTACTTCCCATTATTAACTGCTTATCTAGCCAGATTTGCCTCCTCTTCATAAATGCTTTTGCATTTGAGACCTTTAAAAATACTGATCTCTCATCTTGACTCTTCTCCACCATTACCATCTACTTATAATCCCCCCTTTCCAGCTTAATATGTGCTTTTTTTTTTCTTTTCTTTTTTGTACAAGGGATCTAACTCTTGACCTTGCACTTGCCGGGCAAGGGTTTATGCCACAGAGCTAAATCCCTGGCCCCAATATGTGCTTTTTTCTTATGCTATTCCTGACCACTCTAGCCCAGGAAACATTTCCCCTCCAAATGGCATTGGCATTGAATGCTTCTAATCCTCCTTTGACTTCTTTGCTTTTTGTTGCTGTTGTTTGAGACAGTGCTCGATGTGTAGTTCAGACTGGTCTTGAATTCACCTCAATTCTCCTGCCTCAGCCTCCCAAGTAACAGGATTACAGGCATACACCACCATGCTCTGCCTATAATATCCCTTTGGCATTAACAATAGGACATAAATAATTTCTGATGTAGATAATGTTTTACCTTTAACCAGATACTAAACTTCCTAAGAGCAAGGACCCATCTTCCATGTCTCTGAATTCTCCCTTACACTAAACATAGATCCTTCAATTTGGCAGGCTGCCAAAGCCCCACAAACTGTCTAAAAGCAAAAGTCTAGTAAAGGAAAAAGAGAATCATCAGTGGGCTAGGGTGGAGGCTAACCCCTTTCCTCTGAACACACCTGATTGCGCAGTCTGGTGCGGGGGTTGGGTGCATAGCCAATGAAGCCCACTTTCTTCATGGTGCGCAGTATCTCTGCATCCACAGGTGGTGCTCGCCTATAATCCAGTATAATTCTAGGGCTTCCACCTTTCCACTCCCCAAGCCCCAGTAGTTTAAAAAAAAAAAGAAAGAGGAGGAGGCAGACAAACATCAGGATGATAGTAGGGCACTAGCAAAAAATTCTGTTGTTTTGCCCCTTTCCCCCTCCCTCCTTTCGATCTAGAGGTTAGGTACAACCTGGGAGCAGGAGCAGAGTTGGCAGCAGGCCAATCAGAGAGGAGCACATCAGTGGTAAGTGGAACAGGGATGAGGGAAAGAGGCAGCAGGTCTTGGCTCCAGTCCAAAGGAGGCAGTGAGTCCACAAGACAAGGCAAAGCAAATTCAGTCTCACGGGAGTAGGGGTTGAAGGAAGGCTCAGGGGAATCACTCCAAAGGTGCACACAGCCCTCAGAATCCCCAAAGGCCAGGGCCTGCTTGCTAGCGGACACATCAAATGTCATTAGCAGAGGTCCCACAGGATTCACATGGAAGATATCTGCTGGGTTGGCCAGGCCTGTGGGCTCACAAAACTGGCATTGCCCTAGGAGGGAGGAAGAGACTCATTGAGCCCTAGAAAGTGAAAGGGGGACATCTTTTTATACCTTTTCTCCTCTCGTCTCTTGATATCAAGGGAAGACATACCCTAAATTCATGCCTAGAGATAGAATCCCATCTGATGCCTTCCCATAAATCACAAGATGATTTGCTGCTTAGCAAAAGCAATTTGCAAGTTAGTTTGCCTATTTCGTCTTTATTTTTCCCGTATTCCTCATACCCAGGGAGAAAATAAAACTGCTCATCTCTAAACAAGCCTAAGTGAAATAGTGGGAGTATTGCTTTCCCCTAAAAGAGGGTCTGGAGAGTATTCCTTATGCCTAGTTCCTCTTTGCTCACTGACATCTCTAACCCATTTCTTACAACCCCTTTATACCTGACTGGGAGATGATAGCAAGACGAGAAGTATATGTAGGAATGAAGCGCAGGAAGGCAGGATCCACATGAACCTGAAGTGGTGTGATGGCTCGCATCATTCGCAAATCATACACCTTAAGGAATCGGTCGCAGGCCAGGCCAGTGAGGCGGCTAGAGAAGCCACAGGCAGCCAGCAGGTTGCCATGAACATCAAAATCTGACAGGCTCCCTGAGAAGGCATCGAATTCATGCTCCACCTTAAAACTACGGAGGTCTCGAAGGGAAACCTAAAGAAGGGATAACTGTTATCTGCCAACTCTGCTGTTAGGAAGAATCCTGCACTTACCTAACCCTGTGAAGTCGCTACTTTAGAAACTAAAGCTCTAGGATATGGATATTTAGAGCAAATAAAAGGCTAAAAAGAGAAACTAAGAGCTGGAAGGGACGTTCAAAAGAACTCTTGTTTACCCTTTTTCTTTCTAGGCACTTAGTTTTAGAAAACATCAAGACACAAGATAATTTCATAGTGTAACATAACCAAGTAGGAAGTGAATTCATTCTTCTCCTCCCTCATTTCCAATCCAACTAGGAAAAGCACATCTCAATCAGGTGTCTAGTGAAGCAGGGCTTATGGTAGGAAAACAAATGGAATTTGGTCACCTTGCCGGATGTGTGGCCACAGAAGAAGAAGCGATTTGTCTGTCTCATGATGGTAACTCCAGGTAACTCGACTGCATACTAGAGAGAGAAAGAGGAGAAACCAGTGAGAAAAATGACTTTCTCTAACGACCAAAGGAACAGAAAGGTCATCTCCAATTTCAAGCACATTGCCAGCCCAAGCATATACCCTCCTCTGTAATGTCCTAGGCCCTGCAAGGGGCTTTCTTGGGTCCAGCCCAGGCTTGCACCTTTTGAGTCTCCTGGACAGTGTTCAGATCAATCTCCAGTATATGGTTCTGCAGACCACCCACAAGTAGCGTGCTGCTGTCAGTCAGCAGGAGACTGTGCATGTCCTCACTCTCATCCAGCCTGTGAGAAAAAGTAAAAGACCAACAGGCCAGAGTCTTACCAGCTGCCAATCCTTTTAGCCTTCCCACACTATAAGTTTTTCTCTTTTCTGGTGCAGAACTGAAAAGCTACTTACAAGTAATCAAATATAATGAGTCCCCCACGAGCCATATACTTGAGGTTGTTCTTTGTGAGAAAAAGGATACCATTCTCCAAACTTTGAATCTGGCGAATGTCATCACTGCCATTGACCTGAAAGGATGAGTAGCGCTCCAAGGCTGGGCCAAAAAAAGAAGTGGCATGGCCCTGCAAGAGACAAAGACAACAGAGACATCCAGAATGGAGGTTTAAGGCCATTCCAGATACAGGATTGAAATCTGCTTAGCTTTTCTTCTCTTTGATCTGGACTTTCTGGCTTAGGGATAACTGAGGCATATGGCTAGGAGCAGTCAGTAAACACTGTCCCACATGAATGAATTACAAAATACAAATACTTTGTTTTGTTTTTTGTGTTGAGACAGGGTCTCACTATGCAGTTCAGGCTGGCCTTGAATCACATTGTAGCCCAGACTGGTCTCGAACTCTCAAAATCCTCCTGCTTCAGCCTCTCAAGTGCTGGGATTACACGAGTGCATCACCACACCTGGCTACAAAATACTTTCGTAAACTCTACCTCACTTTATCCTCACAATCATCCTACTGAACAGTTAATATCTCAGTTTATTAGATCTGCACACAAAAGGCCAGGGACAAAGTCCCTGGACCCTGGACCTCCACTAGGCAGTTGGCTTTTTCTTCTTCTTCTATATTGGGAATTAAACCTAGCATAATACATGCTACAGAAATGCTCTGTAACTGAGCTACATGCTCAAAACCCTCCTTTATTAATTTTCAGCTAGGCTCTCACTAATTTGACCAAACTAGTATCTAATTTGAGATCCAGGTACCTGGGATTACAGGTAAGCACCACCACACTGGCTATATTTTCCTGGCACTGAGGTTCAGCTCAGCTGGCTTTTTTATGATTCATAGTCAAGTCTTTTTGTTTGTTTTGTTTTGGTTTGGTTTTCTCTGACAAGGTCTTGCTATGTAGTTTGGGCTGGCTTTGAAATTACAATATAGCCCAAGCTGGCTGGAACTAGCTGCAATCCTCCTGCCTCAGGCTTCTAAGTCCTGGGACTGATTACAAGTATACACCACATCATCACAAAGTCCATAGTCAAGCCTTAATCTCTATCAGTCATTTAGGAAATGAGTAACAAGCTGGAACAGAGAATGTAAAGCTCATTCTGACTTTGCCTTCTGTGATGCTGTTCACTCCTGGTTTCTGTTCTGATTCTCAGTTCGTATCTTTTCCTTGTAAGCGCTCCTTCTTCTTCTTCTTTTTTTTTTTTTTTTGTCTTTTTTGTTTTTACCAGTACCAGGGATCCAACTCACGACTGCCTGCTTGCAAGGCAGGCACTTATGCTGCTGAGCTAAAACCCCAGCTCCCAAGCTCTCCTTCTTTCCACCACTCTTGAAACATGGCTATTCTCAATCTACTAACTTCTTATTCCATCCTGAAGCTAATGATTCATTATTTCCTCCTCTTACTTGTACCACTTATACAGCCAAATACTTATTAAACATCTCTTTTGCTAAGTGGGCTGATGCATGCTATAATCCTGGCATTCTGGAAGGCTCAGGTAGAAGAATCTCAAGTCAAGCCCAGTCTAGGCAATTTAACAAGTTAGTAAGACCTCCTGTTAAAATAAAAAATAAATGAATAAAAAGGCCCTGGCTTCAATCTGGAGTACCAAAAAAGAACTCTCTCTAGGGTTGGGGATTTAGCCCAGCAGCATAAGTGCCTGCCTGGCAAGCACGAAGTTGTGAGTTCAATCCCTGGTACAAAAAAAAAAAAAAAAAAAAAAAGACATTTACTAGCCAAGTCCTGTTTATCGTACTTCCAAAATATTTACAAATCTTTCTTGCATACCCATCTCTGGAGTGCTTCCTTCAGGCTTTTACCTTATTTTGTGTACTATTACAATAGCCTGCAAACTCTGAGTTCTGTCCCATGCTCCTTAAATCAACCTCTATTTTTTTTTCTTTTTCCTTTTTATTGGTACCGGGGATCGAACTCACCACTGCCTGCTTGTGAGGCAGGTGCTTATGCTGCTGAGCTAAATCCTGAGCCTCTAAATCAAACTCTATACTGCTACCTCAGCAAGAGGTCCAGGATGCTAATTAGACTTTGTCATTCGGGTAAAAATCCTTCTGTGGACTGAAGGACCAGATGCAAGCTCCTTTAACAGAATATATGAAGTTTTCCAAATATTTGTGCATGCCTTTAAAGGATCTAGATGGCAGGCATGGTGGCTCATGGCTGTAATCCAACACTTGGGAGGCTGAGTAAGGAGGATCACTGTGAGTCTGAGGCCAGCCTGGGACACATAGTGAGCTCAAGGCCAGTCTAAACTACAGTGAGACTGTCAAAAGACAAAAAAAAGAATAAGCGAGAGCCCTGTCTAAAATGATCATCCTGACCTGCATACAGGTCTATAGTCATGTGATTTTTTTTTTTTTTCCTTTTTTTATCGGTACCGGGGATCAAACTCATGACTGTCTGCTTGCAAGGCAGGTGCTTATGCCACTGAGCTAAATCCCCAGCCTCTAGTCATGTGATTTTAAAGAGTGAGAGAATAGCTAAGGGCATGAGGACCCGAGTTCAATCCCCCAACCAAGATTAAATTTTTAAAAATCTGGTTGAACAAATATACTTCTTCAACTTCAGCTTTCAGCCCAGTAAGTCTTAATTTCTCAGTAGTTCCTGCAATCAGTATATTATCTGTGCTGTGTAATATCTTTTTTTTTGGTACTGGGGATCAAACTCAAGACGTTACATTTGCCCGGTAGGCACTCATTACCGCTGAGTTAAATCCCCAGTGCTGTGAAATATCTTAGAAATCTTCTTTTACCCTATTTCAATACAACCTTTCCCCTATTCCTCCTTCAAGATTCAGTTCCTCAGTTTGGATGTCATCTCCCTCTGGAGGCCTTTTCTGAGTCTTTTTTCATGCTTTCTACCACATAGTAGATATTTTCACACTAGCACTTAGTATTGAAAAATTAATTTCCATGTCTTTCGCTTTTTTCTTTTTGTTGTTGCTGTTTTTTAGACAGTCTTACTATGTAGTTCAGGCTGGTCTTGAACTCTTGGTGATCCTCTGACCTTAGCCTTCCCAGTGCTAGGATTACAGGCATGTACTACCATACCTGGTTATTTATTGCTATGTCTTTTTTCCCTCATTGTCATGTGAACTACTTGAAGATAAGGATTGTTTGGTGTGGGGTTTATATGGTTCAGGGGACTGAACCTAGGACCCTGTGCATACTAGGCAGGCACTCTACCTCTGAGCTACATCCCCAAACCTTTTTTATTTTCAAACAGGGTCTTGGTAAATTACTCAGGCTGGCCTTCAACTTGCAATTTTTATGCTTTAGCATCTGAAGCAGCTGGGAACATAGGTGTGACCACTATGCCCAGCTAAAGATTATGTTTTATTCAGCTTTATTTCCTCTCCCTAACAAAGCAATAGATACAACCTACTGAATTAAATGAATGTGACAAATACAGCAAATTCATTCCTTCTAATGGAAGCATAACTCATGCCCTATGAAAGTTAACAAGTAAATCAAGGTCACCATATGATTTTTTTTTTTTGGCACCAGGAACTGAACTCAGAACACTGCAGGCACTCATGCTACTGAGCTATACCCCTAGCCCCTATATTATCATTATACTATGAAACCAAAGGCTTTATTTTAATGATAATATAGGTATACATTTTTAAAAATTAGCATTAATAAAGGCTCAGAGGCAGACTAAAAATCAAAGACAAAATGGCTCCATGTAAAAATGCAGAAACATTCGTTAAAGATTCTGTGATTATTAAATAAAACAGGAGAGGAATTAAAGATTGGATTTGGGTCATTAAAGACTAAATGATGGGTGGAATGGAACTGCAGCACAAATGGGATACTTTTTTTTTTTTTTTTTTTTCTTTTTTGAGACAGGATCTATGAAGTTCAGCAGGCCTTGAGCTCACTTTGTAGCCCAGGCTGGTCTCGAACTCACAATGATCCTCCTGCCTCAGCCTTCCCAGTGCTGGGATTACAGGCCTGAGCCACCACACCTGGCTTGAGATACTGTCTTAAAACTAACAATCTGTGTCACTCATCTCTGGAGGCAAGACTCCCCTGTTTCTTCTCCTTGGCTTGACCAAAGAGACAGGCTAAATCTCATCACTTTAACTCAGTACTGAATCCCTGAAAAGCAGATGTCCTTTGGGCAGACCAGAAAAAGACCTCCGATATGCTCTTTCAAAACCCATTAAGGGGTGTGGTTCTTACCCCATGGCTCCCCACCCACAGCATCTCCTCGTGCAAGTCAAAGTGGGAGACAGTCACAGGCACACCCACTTCAGCCACCACGCTGTGCAATTCAGAGTAGACACCTTCCATTATGTGCACTGATTCTTGGACAGGAAGAGCGTCCAAGGCCACTCCCTCTGGGTCCAGCTCCACATTCTGTAGCAAACTTGGGTTCAGGTGGGCATCCAGGACAGGGTCCAAGGTGGAATGTATGGATGGGGCATACTCTGCCAATCCAGGGTCCAGACCCTCAAAGTTCATGGTGGTGATATGATGGCAGCTGTGTTACAGAGTCCCTGTGGATACCTGACCCAGCCTTCAGCAGAACAGCACCAGTGGGCCTAGAAAGGACATTCTGGCCTGCAAGGGGAAAGAGTAACTCAGTCAGGAGTAGGCCCAGGTACTGGCATTTAGTGTCTTCTAGATTATGTGGATAGGAGGGTGAGGAGGCAAGTAGAAGGGATGACTCTGTCAGAGGCTACAGTAGGCAGCAGGGTGTGGGATGTCCCTTACTCTCCTCTTGACCCTCTGAACTCGCTACCACCCCAGTCTCCTTAACTTCCCTTTCTCCTCCCTCCAGACATGCTCACTTGCCTGGTTCAGCCCTTAACCATCAGGTGAAGGAAGCAGGTTTTTCGGGTATAGGAGAGTTGCAATTAGGTCTAAAATGCTTGTTTCCTAGAATTGGGGGTGGGAAAGGGGATAGTGAGAACAAAACAAGTTTCCTAGAATCTTCTACAATAGTTAGCAGGATTCTCTAGGGGGATCAATAAGAATGGCCAGTTACCAACAATTGTGGCGGGGGTTAGGGGAAGGCGATGGAAACGGACAGCTACCCAGAATTCTCTGGGGGAACCAGAGAAATTGGTTACCCAGAATTCTCCCCCGGTGACGGAGATGGAAGGGATGAGGACAAGGGTCAGATGTGTTCTTGGGGTGCTTACGGGGAATGGGTCATTACCAAGATTTCTCCATGGCGGATATTTTGGAGCGCGTGGAATTAAAATGAGTAGGGGGAGAGCAAGCGCCGTCAACTCCGCGGGAAATTCCAGTTTCCCCAGTTCTACCCCGCGCCTCTAACTCAACCTAACCTACTGCGAGACAGGCAGCAGATTTGCCAATCGCTGCTTCCAATCAGGAAGGGTTTGGGGGCATTTAAGCCAATCAGAAGGCGCAAGGTACAGACGGCTTCCGGAAGAAGGCGCGTTACGCTAGGGCAGGACAAAAATAAGGTTACGGGCAGCCGACGGGGACAAATTGAGACGTATGCGTGCTGGCTTCGAGATGTTGAAAAGTTAGCTTTTGACGTTTAGACCTTCTTGAACAAATCTATCCCCAGATTTGAAAACTGAACTAATAGGTTCTCGATAACTTTAGAAACTAGATTGAGGGGCACGCAGGACAAATTGCAGGGAACTCGCTACTGGGTATTCCCAGCCTAGCCTAGTCCGCCCCCTCTTCTTTGGCTCTCCTGTGAGCCCACTGCATATGACCTTGTGCCCCCGAAACTCGAGGGCATTTCCTATGATTCCTAGATACAGGAGAGAAAAAGGAAGCGGGAGGCCAACTTCTGACTCGGTCCAAGTGGCCACATTTTCTATAGCTCTAAAGACATCCATCTGAAATTCCCATCGGTAGTGTTCTCTCCCCAGAGGGCCCCTCCCCCGCTTCATAGTCCAGGGAACGAGAATCTCCCAACTATCAAATTCCCCTTGTCAGTGGAGCTAGACATTATCTCGCAGAGGGGATGAATACAGCTAGTTGGGCAAACTGGGACATTTGGTAAGGATATGCCACTTATAGTTACTCTGGATTTTCCCCCTGGTACAGAGAATTAAACCCAGGGCCTTTGCTCTGACCTACTTCCACAGACCCCTTTTTAATTTTGAGATAGGGTCTCACTAAATTGCCCAGGCTGATCTCAAACTTGGGATCCTCCTTCCTCCACTTCTCTGAATACTGGGATTACAGGCCTGCACCATCAAGCCTCACTTCTAAGGGATTCATAGGTCCTAACTGTGAGTTTGAACAACTTTGGATTGGATCTAGGCTCTGAGATGTCTTGGGGTAACTTAGCTCAGCTGGTGTTTATAAAGATCACCTATAGGGACTCCCTTCAAAGAAATTCTTCAGAGGTTGTTCGTTTGCCGTGCCGAGAATTGGACCCAAAGCCTTTGCACTGAGCTACATCGCCAACACATTTTCAGTATTTTTAGGCAGAGTCTGGCTAAACTGTCAAATTTCCCAGGCTAGGGTTAAATTTATGATCCTTGTGCCTCAGCCTCCCAGTGTACTGGGTATTACCTGAGCAAGCACCATGCCTAAGGAAGGATACAGTTTTAAAGTGCTTGCCTGGCATGAGAAAAGCTCTGTATTCCATCTCCAGCACTACAAAAAATAAAAAGCAGTTAAAGCATTTCTTTTAAAAAAGAATAGGAGACTTTTATAAAAGGAACCAAGGATTGGGAATGTGAGCCTAGGCTTCAAAGTGAGCTCAAGACCAGGATGAATTGGGGGCTGGGGATTTAGCTCAGCGGCATAAGCACCTGCCTTACAAGCAGGCAGTCATGAGTTCAATCCCTGGTACCGATAAAAATGAAAAAGACCAAAAATAAATAAATAAATAAATAATAAAAAAAAAAACAAAACAGTGGCCCAGTGTTAATGTGTCTGGACTATGTACAGATCAAAAGATTCAAAAACTCAAAACAAATAAATTGTAGGCTTTAACCAGATGTGGTGGCATACACCTCTCTGATCTCAGTACTCTGGAAGGCTAAGGCAAGAGAATCTCAAATTTGAGTGTAGCAGGACAATTCAGCAATTTAAGTGAGACCCTGTTTCAAAACAAAAATGGAAAAGGCTGGGGATATAGCTCATTGCAAAAGCCCTGGGTTGTATATGTGTACCCATGTTCACAGCAGCACAATTTGTAATAGCTAAATCTTGGAAACAACCTAAATGCCCATGAACTGAGGAATGAATAAAAAAGACATGGTATATTTATATAATGGAGCACTACTCAGCCATAAAGGACAAACTTGAGACTTTTATAGATAAATGGATGCAACTTGAGTCCATACTCATAAATGAAATAAAGTAGACATGCATGTGTAAACATCATATTGTTTCACTAGTGTGAGGAGCTGGAAGAAACAACATATGTGTGTGTAGGTAGATAATACAGTTAAAATAGTTACACTATTGATGTCTATGAATTCATTGAAGAGAAAGGTTTGTGTTGGTACTGTTTGGTATCAAGTGTACCAACTTGATACCAAATGCAGATGACTTGTGCTTTGGGTGACTGATTTGGGGATGGCAATGCATAACGTATGTACCATTGTTGTCCCCTAATTATTGTGTTTTAAAATTTTTTTCTCTTTGAAATAAAATGGATTTTGAAAAGCAAAAGCCCTGGGTTAAATTACTAGTATGCTTATTAAAAAAAGAAAAGAAAAAAGAATGCAGGATCTGTGAGGTAGGAGAATCATGAGTTCAAGGCTAGCTTGCACTGCATAGTGAGATCTTGTCTCCAAAACAATGAAAAAGTATACATTTTGTTTTGAGACAGCATTTTACTACCTGGTTTGGACTGACCTTGAGCTCACTATGTAGCCCAGGCAGGGCTCCAAATTGAGGCAATCCTCCTGCCTTGCCCTCCTGGGTAGTAGAAATAGAAACGTGTCATCATGCCTACCTAAAATACAAGCTCTGAAGCCAAATTATGTTTGCAGCACTTCTACCAACTTTGTAGCTTATTTTTTGGTTTTGTTTTGTTTTTTGAGATAGGGTATTGCTTTGTAGTTCAGGCTGACCTTGAGTTCACTGTGTAGCCCAGGCTGGCTTGGAACTTAAGGTTCCTCCTGCCTCAGACTCCCAAGTGCTGATATTAGAGCTGTGCACAGGCACACCCAGCAACTTTGTAGCTTTTTGATTACTGGCAAATTAATTTATCTCTCCACCTCAGATTCTTCATCTGTAATATGGAGATAGTAATATTATCTACGTTATAGGGTTGTTGTAAGAATTAAATGGATTAATATATGTAAAATCCTTAGGCTGAGTACTTGGCATAAACTGAAAATTGGATACATATTAGCCATCTTTAATAAGCACCTGGGGGAACTTTGGCAGGATTTGGAGTCTGTGCATCCAACTAGAAGGCCTGTCCAGGAGTGTCTGGTGAATGATTTGCATAACGGTTGAGGCCCAGCTGACGTCAAGGGCTTCTTGGAGCTCCAGGTCAGAGGTCTCTTTGGAAGTAGTTCCTGTTGCACAAGAGTCCCACAGTTGTCCCACTAACCCTGCTTCCTACCCAACCACTGCAGCACCAGGAAGTGAAACAGGCCAGAGCCCTATGCCTCCAACACCCGTCTCATCCCAGTCCCCAGGGCTCCACTTCCTTCTCCTTTTTAGAGTTCATCTCCAGTTTTTTAGGGCACCCCAAATGGGGACCAGAGCTGGGAAAAGCATAGGAGACACTATACAAAGAGTAACTCCTATGCCTTTTATTTATTTATTTTTTGCAGTACCGGGGATGGAACACAGGATCTCATGCTTGCCAGGCAGGTACTTATGCCACTGAGCTAAATCCCCAGCCCCTTTTTTGGTCTTTTTGAGACAGGTTGTCATTATTTGGTTCAGGCTGGACTTGGTTTCATGTTGTAGCCTAGCTGGTCTCGAACTTGCTGTCCTTCTGCCTCAGCCTCCCAAGTGCTGGAATTACAGGAGTGTGCCACCATGCCTGGCCCCTATGTCCTCTTTTTAACTTCCTTATTCCATTTATGTCTATCCTATACAGGGAAAAGCAAACCATTTTCCCCAAAAAAAGATATTACTTTGGTGGTGGCAATGTTTCACCTAAAGGGTAGATTTACCACAGACTCAAATATTCAAGCCAGAAATTTTATTGGGCAATAGCTCTAAGGGAAGGGAGACCTCCATGCAGGGAAAGTTTCTAAGAACAAAAGAGTCAACTTGTTGGGGATGCTTTGAGAGGCAGCTGTGTGGTCACCCATGGCTCATTCTGACGTCCAAATTGTTTTGGGACCCTCCACAGGGGTTGGGGCAGCCCCAGATTCAGACCACCCTCCACTCCCACACCCAATCTCACACTCAGTTGTTTCGCTGGATGTTGCATCAGGGAGGATGATGAAATCAACGTCAATGGATTTTACCCATGGATGCAACAGGCTGCAGGACCAGCCAGTCACTCTTAGCAGCATCTTCTACTACCAAGAACTAGGATAAAGAAGGCATGGGACAGAAGCTAGGGGCTAACACTGGAACCCTGAAAAAATACCACAGAGCCCATGAAACCTCAGGCCATTGAGTGAGTTGAAAAAATCAGGCGGTTTTTAGTATATGTGCTGCCGAACTGAGCACAAAATCAGGTGGTTTTTTAACCTCTCCTCAGTATTTACCACAGTGAGGCCTCAAGTGGAGCAGATGTGATAACTTCTATTGCATTCATATGGCTTCCTAGTCAACAAAGTGCCTTTGGGTCCATCCTCTTCCTTGAAACCAGGACCACCAGTGAAAAGAACAGTTTGCAATGGAGAACAGTTTCCTTATTCTTAGATAGTGGGCATCAGGTAGCTACCAAACTTTATCCCATCTGCCCTTACCATCCTTCTGGGAGATGAGCAAGTGCTTGTTTTGTTTTTTTCTCAAGCAAGAGGAAATGAGGAAATTAGGTTTGGGGTGGGGTAGGGGTAAAGCTTTGGGAAGCAAAAACATTAGAGACAAATTCATCAGGAAGGAACTTGAGGCCAGATTAATTTAAATGTTACTTCCCCCACCCCTCTATGGCCATTTCGATTCTTGGAGAGCATTACATATGTGTCCCATCCTAGGCCTCCAGCCACAGCAACCTTACTACTCATTTCCCCTGGAACAGAGGATATATACCTGGGCTCTCCACTAAGGGAGATGATGCAGGGAGGGAAATCCCACCTGCTGTGAGTCACCTGGTGCTGTAAAGGGCGGGTCTTGCTCTGGAGAGACCTTAAAAAGTCTGAGAGACAAAGGGAGAGAAACAAAGGGAACCAGCTCAGAAACTCAGTGAACAGACACAGAAGAGAATCAGGCTCAGAGCAAGGGGAAGTGGGCAGAGAGATTCCACAGGACTGGTGCAAGACACTGAGCCATCTAGATTTGAAAAGCAGGTGACAAGATGCTGGGAAGCACAGCTGTGATGCTGCTACTGCTGCTCCCCTGGACTGCACAGACCCGGGCAGTCTCTGGGAGCAGCAACCCATCCTGGACCCAGTGCCAGCAGCTGTCACAGAAGCTCTGCACCCTGGCTTGGAGTGCACATCCATCAGTAGGACATGTGGTGAGTGTCTAATCCTGAGACCAGACAGTGTGAACCTCTCCAGGCCTTCAGAGGCTGCAGAGTTGGGTGGAATCTGTGGCGCTGGGTGGAAGCTGTAGGGTTGAAAGGAATCAGAGTGAGAGGACAGGAGCTTGGGGCTCTGGGAGAACATGAGCCTAAGTGTCTGGTGGGCTTCATACTTGTTATGAGCTGGGGATGTTTCAGTGCTAGAGTGCTTGCCTGACATGCATCAGGCCCTGGGTTCTGTCCCTAGCAAAAAGACAAAACAAAACTTCATTCACTGGGGCTGGGGATTTAGCTCAGCGGCATAAGCGCCTGCCTGCCTTACAAGCAGTCAGTCGTGAGTTCAATCCCTGGTACCAATTAAAAAAAAACTTCATTCACATTTCCTTCATTCCAGGAGCCACCAAGAGAAGAGGCAGATGAAGAGACTACAGATTATGTCCCCCATATCCTATGTGGGGATGGCTGTGATCCACAAGGACTCAAGGACAACAGTCAGGTATCACTAATATGAAGCTGAGCCATGAGGCAAAGGGGACTGGGAACATGAGTGGGCACAGAAGTGAACTACAGGTTGTGGCTAAGAATGGTAAAGAACTGGGTTGATATTTGGTTTGAATGAAGATCATCTGCTTCATTGCTTCTTTCCTTCCCAGTTCTGTTTGCAGAGGATCTACCAGGGTCTGGTTTTCTACCAGAACCTGCTGGGCTCAGACATTTTCACAGGGGAGCCTCCACTATTCCCTGATGGGCCTGTCAGCCAGCTTCACGCCTCCCTGCTGGGGCTCAGCCAACTGCTGCAGGTAGGAACTGGGGGCCTAGAAGGTAGAGGCCTGCAGGGTGGGGGGTAGAGTCCTTTCTGACAGTGCCCTGTTTTCTTTCAGCCTGAGGTTCACCAGTGGGAGCCTCAGATTCCCAGCCTCAGTCCCAACCAGCCATGGCAGCGCCTTCTTCTGAGAATCAAGATCCTTCGCAGCTTCCAGGCCTTTGTGGCTGTAGCTGCCCGAGTCTTTGGCCATGGAGCAGCAACCCTGACCCCTTAATGCCATGGCTCAGCAATGGCAAGACAAATCTATTAGTTCAGGCACGCGAGAGCCAGAAAATGAATTAGTCCATTAATTCTAGTGACAATTGCTTTTAAAAAACTAATACTGTGCTTGCTTCAGATTTTATATATATATATATAATTTTTTTTTTGTACCAGGGATTGAACTCATGACCTTGCACTTGCCAGGCAAGCGCTTATGCCACTGAGCTAAATTCCTGGCCCTGGCAGCACAAATATTAAAATTGGAATGATACTGAGATTAGCATGACCCTTGCAAAGGATGGCACTTTAAGTGTTCTCTATTTAAGAAAAAATTACCAATGCTGACTTGTGACAAAGCTACATATTTATTAGATGGGAAGGGAAATTTTGGTATTATTTATCCTCATAGGAGCAGTATGGGGAGGATTATTTATTGTATTTATAAACAATTGTTATTTTTTCAATAAAGACTTATTTATGTGGCTGAGTCTAATTTCTAGGCTTGGTTGGAAAAATGAAGCAGAAGGAAAAGTAGGGCCAAGGGATTACAAACGCATTTGTTAAAAAACAAACAAACAAAAAAACAAAAAAAACGCATTTGTTCTCCTAATGGGCTATGGTGGAAAGTGATATTCTTTCACGACTCTCTGGTATAGAGTATCTGGAGTTGAGCATGGTGGCACACACCTATTACTCCAGCACTTGGGAGGCCAAGGCAGGACATGTGCCATGAGTTTGAGTCCAGCCTGGGTTACACAATGAGTTCAATACCAGCCTGAACTATGAAGTGAGACTTTATCTCAAGAATCAGAAAAAAAAAAAAATACTGGGTCTTTTAGTATCAAAATGTGGATGGTTGAACAAAATGGAATTACAAGGGGTTGTGACTAGAAAATGGAGACACACCTGGGGGTCACCTGCTCTCTCACCCACAGCTTCTTTCTTTGTTTTCTTGCCCAAGAATATAGCCAAAGACAGGACCTTGATCAGTGCAGAATCAAAGTCAGAGCTGTTTTGAGCAGGAAGGGCATTCCAGGAAGATGAAGATAAATCCCCTAAACCACTGGGGTTCTCTCTCAAAGACACCTGTAGGCCCTTCAGAAGGAAGTCTGGAAGCCTGATGTGGCAGCATATGCATATAATCCTGGGACTCGGAAGGCTGAGATAGTAGTAGGGTCAGCATAAATGGGAAGCCAGCCTGAACTATTCTCTCAAAAATATATTTTTTTTAAAGGCGGAAATGGCCTATTGATTATTTCCTTTCCTTTTCTCTGGTCTCCACATCAAAAGAACATGAGTGGAGCCAGAGGCATGATTTGCCAGCCTTGCTTCTGTATGCTGAAGGCTTAAGGGCTTTAGTTTTTTTTTTTTTTTTTTTTAACTGAGAAACTCAGGACCTGGTGCTTGTGCCACTGAGTTGTATCCCCAGCCCAAGGTCTTTTTTTTGTCTTTTTCATTTTGATCGGTACCAGGGATCGAACTCACAACTGCCTGCTTGCAACACAGGCGCTTATGCCGCTGAGCTAAATCCCCAGCCCCCAGCCCAAGGTCTTTAATCTCTGTGAGCAGAGAAGTAAAAAAGTTCTACAATGGCACTTTTAGGTCAGGACAAAGTTCATTAGGTATTTTTGCTCAGGAAGGGCCACTTTCACATCAGGATGACAGTTCTACTGACATTCCATTTAGAGAAACAATCAATGTGCAGCCTTTGCTTCCATTTATATTTCAAGCTATACCAGAAGTCCATCTTGCAGCTATGGCAGTTGGGCCTGGGATTCCCCAGGAAGGGCATAGTGAACACATCCAGAGTTCTATGAACAACCTTCAAGGTTCTAAATTTCAGGAACTTGGTCTCTGCTCGGGTCCACACTCAAGAAATAGAAATCTTCCTTTCAGGTAAACCATGTATTTACAAAAGAAGGGATGGGGCTGGGGGTTTAGCTCAGTGGCACAAGTGCCTGTCTGCAAGTGCAAGGTTGTGAGTTTGATCCCAGGTACCAAAAAAAAAAAAAAAAAAAAAAACCAACCAATAAACAAAAAACTAAAAAAAATAGCTAAGATTGGATGCTTCTCTTCTATAAAACCATCACATTCTATTCACAGTACTGTAAAAAGCAATCCTCAAATTCCCAGCAAACCTACCATCCCAGCCTTTGGGAGTGATTTTTGTCTTAAGCACAGGGCAAGTGCAGACTTAGCAGCCTAAAGTACTGTGTAAAGTTTTTCAGGCATTTTAGACTGGCAGGATCATTTTTTGGGAGGAAGCCTAGGGGGGAAAAGAGGAGGAGACTGGTAAGAAGAGGCATTCTCCCTCCTATAGCCTTTCTCAGAGTGGGGCTTCATATGGTGGGCTGAGGCAGGAAGCTCTCAAACCCTCCCGAAAGGAGAAACTTAGGAAGCAAAGAGAAGAAAGGAAAAAGTTGTCCTGGACATGATGGAACCAGAAGAGAGAAATGAAGGGCCAGAGGTATGGCTCAGTGATACAGCACCTGCCTAACATGCATGAGAGTGTGGGTTCAATAAAACCTAAAACAGAAAAGGGGTGGTGGTGGTATTCTATTACATATCTATGTTTCCCATCAAGGCCTAATGCTAGTGTGCATCATGTAGCTGTGAAAACTATTAAAATCCTGATATCCTTCCATACTAGAGAGAAGCCCTTGACCTAGGCCCTCTGAAGTACCACCCAACTGTCCTGGCTTCCCCTTAGGATTCCCATACCACCCAGCACAGCAGGCAGCCTCTCACTCAGATCCATACAGAACTGTGGCCAGCACATGTTCTGATTCACTGGTGCCCCTCCCATGCCCAAATTATGCTTTCACCTCCCCAAACTCCAGGTCAGAACGCTTGATTTCTCATCCTTGGAGAGCGACATTATGATATGGGGGGCAGGAAAGACAAAAGATACAAAGAACAGAAGAAATATAGCTTTAATTCTAGCAGTCTGGATTCAAGGGTCCATCTGTGCAGAAATGGCTGGGGCAGGAAATGTAAGTCTCATCCAAGTTCATCTGGCCAGCCAACAGTGGGTCCCCGTTCGGCATGATATCTTCAATATTCACACTGTTCCTGAAGACTAGGTAATTGAAAGACAGAAGTCAGACCATGATGTCGCTTGGGAGGACCCAACCCAGCAGGGAAAGTGAGGGAGAATGGCAAGAGAGATCCCTTGTGGGCAGGGGACTTGGACAAAGGAAGAACAGGGTAGGTGGGGGAGGCACGAGCATTTCCTAATCACAGGAATCACCAAGAAATGAGCCTCTCTCCAGTGAGGAGCCTGAAGCTTAGCCTCATAATAGGGGAGGAAGGACAGGGAGAAAACAGAACATGTCCCCTCTCCCTCTGCCCCATCTCGTCACTTACTTTCCATGTCTATAGTGCTTAAGTGCTGCAGATCCTGAGGCAAATCTGAATCTGGTACTGGCTGTGATGTTATAAAGACAGTGGGATCTGGTATAGGCTGTAGCCCTGACCCCAGGTCCAGCCCTGGCTCCAGAGTGGGATCCAATGTAGGCTCCAGCGTTGATCTCAGATCCAGCTTTGTCTCCAATAGTGGCCCTAACTCCAGGCCTATCCCCGGCTCTAGGTTTGACATCAGCCTTTGCTCCAGCTCTAAGGACTCCCATTCTGGCTCCTCTTTAAACTCCAGAGGTTGCTGTAGCTCATCCACCTGCCTAGATATCCCAAGACAGACAAAAAAACCAGGCTCAGTGGAACATGAGCTTTGGAATTAGGCTTGTTAAGAGTTTTAATTTTATCATTTACTAGCTGAGTGACCTTAAGTTACTTAATCTTTCTTTTTCTTGTTTTGTTTTGGTTTTTTGGAGACAGAGTTTAACTATGCAGTCCCATGCCTGGTTTACTTAACTTTTCTGAGCCTCAGATTTCTCATCTGTAAATAGGAACAAACCATACATAATAACTATTTATTTAGTAATAATTATTTTTTTTTAATCAATGCAGGGGATCAAACTCATGATCATGAGCTTGCAAGGCAGGCACTTATGCTGTTGAGCTAAATCCCCAGCCCTTAATAATAATTCTTGAACAGTAGGAGACTGGTTAAAAGTAGGACTTTGGATATTACCTAAAGTGACTTATATATTAATACAATCACCATAAAAATATCAAAGGACTTCTCCCCAGAAATACCTTTCAAGAACCCTAAAATACAAGTGGGCATAGTTGTACATGCCTTAATTCCAGTACTCAGGAGGCAGAGGCAAGAGGATCATTGTGAGTTCAAGGCCAAAACAAAAACAAAATTTGTTTTTTGTTTCAAAAACAAATATCTTTCAGCTGGATTCCTTGGGTAAAAAAAAAAAGAAAAAAACCCAAAAAACAAATATCATTCCAAAATTCACATGGAGTCACAAGACACAGTATAGGCAAAACGATCTTGAGCAAAAAGAACAAAGCTAGAGGGATCACAATACCAGTCTTTCCAACATGCTACAAAGGTACAATAACCAAAACAGCATAGTATTGGCATAAAAACATATAGATCTCAAACAGAAGACATACCTAGAAATAAACCCACAAATTCACTGTCTGCTAATTTTTATAAAAGTGCCAAAAACAGAGAGTAGCCTCTTCAATAAACTATGCTGGGGAAACTGGATATCCATTTGTAGAAGAACAAAACTGGGTCCTTATCTCTCACCATCTAAAAAACCAACCTACAGGAACCTCATATGGTAGTGCACACCTCTAATCCCAGCACTTGGGAGGCTGAGGGAGGAGGACTGTGGCAAGTTCAAGATTAGCCTGAACTATATAGTGAGACTCGGCCTCAAAACAAAACAAAACAAAACACACACACACATGCACGCACGCACGTGCGTGCGCGCCAAAAACCAAACCTAAAATGGATAAGACTTAAAACTATGAAAGTTTAGAAGAAAATAAAGCCAGGTGTGGCAGCATATCCTGGAAGCTGAGGCAGGAAGATCACTATGAGTTCAAAACCAGGCTGGGCTACATAGTGAGTTCAAGGCAAGCCTGGACCACATAGCGCCGTCTCAAAACAAAACAAGCACAAAACAAGAAAGCACAGGGGAAATACCTCAAGACACTGGTAAAGGTAGTAAGTTTTTGGTAAGCCCTAAAAGCTTAGGCAATAAAAGCAAAAATAGACAAATGGAATTGTAGCAAACTACGAAGGTTCTGCATGGCAAAAAACATAATCGAGCTGGCAGAGAGGCTGGGGATACAGCTCAGTGGCACATCACCAGCCTGGCAAGCATAAGTTAATGAGTTTATACTTTCTGGTACCACCAAAACAAAAACAAAACAAGAGAAAGACAGCTGGCAGACTAATAGAAAAATGGAAGAAAATATTTACAAATTACTTACCTATCAGGGGATTAATATCCAGGATATATAAAGAAAAACTCAACAGCAAAAATAATAGTAGTTCAAATAAAAAATGGGTATGGACGTTTCTTACAAGATAGAATGTAGGGGCTGGGGATTTAGCTCAGTGGCACAAGCGCCTGCCTTGTAAGTGTGTGGTCGTGAGTTTGATCCCTGGTACTGATAAAAAAGAAAAACACACACACACACACACACACACACACACACACACAAAGACAGAATACAAATGACCAAAAAACCAGGCGTGGTTGCTCACGCCTGTAATCCCAGCACTCGGGAGGCTGAGGTGGGAGGATCGTTGCGAGTTTGAGACCAGCCTGGGCTACAAAGTGAGCTCAAGGCCAGCCTGAACTGCATAGCAAGAACCCATTTCAAAAAAGAAAAACAAATGACCAAAAAGTATATGAAAAAATGCTCAATATCATTATTTATCAGAGAATGGAAATCAAAACTACAATGAAATCTCACTTTGGTTAGAACAGCTATGATAAAAAAAAAAACCTAAATAACACATGCTGGTGAGGATGCTGAGAAAGGGGAACTCTTACATTGTTGGTGGGAATGTAAGTTAGTGGTCACTAATGACTCACCACCCTGAGACACTATGGAGAGTCCTCAGAAAACTAAGAATAGAACTACCAGAATAGAATAGAGCTATCTGACCACTAGGTATACATACAAAAGAAATGAAATCAATACATCAAAAATTTATCTACAGCCAGGTATGGTGGCCAGCACCTGTACTCCTAGCACCCTGGAGGTCGAGGCAGGAGCTCTGGGAAACTTAGCAAGTTCCCATCTCAAAACAGAAAAAACAAAGGACTAGAGTCGTAGCTCAGTGTGGAGGCCCTGGATCAACCTGCAGTAATGTGTGTTTGTGAAAACACATTTTATGTCTGTCACCTATGTGGATATATTTTTGTATTTATGTTCACATGTTTATTACAATACTACTCACAAAAGTAAGATGGGACCAGCAAGACATGGTGGCACATGCCTGTAATTATAGCACTCAAGAGACTAAAGCAGCATGATCACAGTAAGTTTGAGGCCAGCCTGGGCTACACAGTGAATTCTAGGCCGCCTGAACTACATCCTGTCTTGAAAAAAGCTTAAAAAAAAAAAAAAAAAGATGCAATCAACTGAGAGTCTATCAACAGATGATTAAATTGAATAATCAACTGAGTATTATTCAGCCATAAAAAAAATTCTGTCATTTTTGGCAACATAGATGTAATGATAGGTGAAGTTAATCACATACACAGAGAAATATCACATATAATTATTTACATGTGGAAGTTAAAAAAAGTTGACATAAAAGACATGCCCTCCCCTTCAAAAACAAGAAGAAAGTAAGTAATGCCATGCTTGGTATGAGATAGACGCAAGACTTGGTGGCACATCCCTGTAACCTCAACACTCAGGAGGCTGAGACAGGAGAACTCTATGGAGTTCAAGGCCAACATGTATTAAATAGTGAACTGAAGGCCAGCCTGAAGTATACACCAAGACCTTGTCTCAAAGCAACAAAAGAAAAATACTTTTAGAAAATCTAGTGCTACAGTTGGCATCAGATAGGTATCCATTAATACCATCATAAACTTAAGGACGGCAGCTGAAAAAACAGAAAAAGAAGAGACCAGAAGAATGAGAAAAGCTAGAGGCTCAGAGATGAGTTAGTAGGGAGTGAGGGTTGTGGGATTCAGTGGCAAATTAGAGCCATCAAATCAGTCAAAAAGGATTCAGAGAAAGACTTTATATCTCACCTGTTAGAGACCATAATGAGCTTACGTTTCAGGTATTTCCTCTGTTCCTCAAGATTAACTGTGGGGACATAGCAGGTGGAGAGAGGTCAGTTTGTTGGGCCCTGAGCTCAGGGTTCCTCTAATAGAGCTGATCCTGGCAGCTGTTATCTCTTTGCTAACTAGCACAGCCCTTTGACAAATGCCTTAACTACTCTGGCTAGTGGCTTTCCCCTGCTGAAAGGAAGGCATTGGATTTAAGCACATCGGAGGAAACTTGCACTCAATCTGGCCATGAAGTATGTCAGTGATTCCCACCTTTTTCTTGGTAGTAGCACCCAAAGGCCTCATCACGGGGGATTCGGGGATACAGGAAGCGCAGTGGGTTCTCAGGTATGTTCTCCTCAGTGAGCAGCTGGTAGTGGCGGATGATTTCGGTCAGTGGGAGGGACTGCAACACCTCCTTAGTGTAGGGCTGCACAGAGTAGATGACCACCTTATCTAGAGAGTGGATGCAGGAATGGGTAGGCTAAAGAGAAGAGGCTGTTCTGAGGGCTTCCCGCCCTGACTCCCAACCCCAAAGCAGATGCAAGATTTAGGACAGAGGTCAGGAAGCCAAGGGTAGGCAGCAGGTGACCAAGGCAGTGAGCAGAGGCTGTGGGGATGGCAGGGCAGAGCAGCTGACCATCATCCTGGTGCTCCACCCAGGAGCAGGTAATGCCCCCTTCCGAAGATTCACTGAACCGCAGCAGAAACGTGCCAGACATAGTCCTCTTCAGCAGCCGGCGCTCTTGGTTCCGGCTCACGAAGCCCATGATGCGCCTGGAGCACAGGGAGTAGCCCAGAGATCCCGTGACCCCCTTGTGTGCGAGTCAGCTCTGGGTTTAGGCCCTGGCTCTGTCCCTTGTGAACTTTTCCATTTCAGTCATTTCGCTTTAGTGGTTAAACAACTCGCCCCGCTTCCAAGGTTTGAAAAGGTATGTGGATTCAGGGAGATGACAGATAAAAAGCACTTTATAAAAGCCAGGTAATAGGCTCAGGATAAAGTGAGTTTAAGAACAGCCGGGACTGATAGTGAAACCCTGTCTCACACAGACCAAAAAGAAAAAGAAAGGGGGGCGGGTAGGGGAATGGGAAAAAAAAAGCGCACGTTATATCAGGTACAGTTACAAATTCTCTATGATGAATGTGATCATTATGTGTATCTAAAATATACCAATAAAATTTGATTAAAGAAAAAAAAAAGAAAAAGAAGAAATGAGATCTTCCACTAGTTTTTGTTCTCTCTCCCTGCCTACATGGTGGTACACAAAATCTATTCAACAACCAGAAAACAACAGGCCTCAATGTGAAGGCTGACCCAGACCTTACCCATCATTCCACAGATCCTTCAGGTGGTCATGCACCAGTTCCAGAATTTTGTCCAGCCATGTCCAGAATGGTACCTTGCCAGGGGGGCTCTCTCGCTGAAAGAGGAATAAAAAGGCAGGAGGAGATAATGGAGTTTACTCTGGTGGACAAAGAAAGATGAGCAAAGGGCCAGAATTTGGGCTGGGAGCTAGCTGCATGGGATGCAAGGAATTACCTTACAGAAGTCGGCCCAGGACAACAAATTCTCCATCTTAGAGGTCTTCCCTGTGGGATAGGTAGCCACAGTGGTTCAGATGCTAGAAGGTAAGGCCAGGCAGGGGTGCTAGGACAGGACAGGGGGCTGGGCCAGACTAAGGCTGGGGAAAGGCTGAAAAAAGTATACCAGTACCAAACAGCTTCTCTTTCAGCATAGCCAGCTGCTCTGGGTTGAGGCCTTGGCCAATATGGGAGGAGAACTGCCAACTGAGAGCAGGGCCCAGCAAGCTCCAGGGGGCCGCAGGGGGGCTGGAGAAGAACTGCTGGTTCTAAGTAGTGGGAGAAAGGCAGAGAGGCTCAGATGTGCCCCTTGAACCAAGTTTCAGACCCTCTTCACTTGTCAGCCCCACCTCCTACCTGGGGGTTTGGGCTGAGCAGATTGAACCAGAGAACCGAGGCCCAGGCAATGGAGAGCTGGTTCATGTTAGAAATAATCACCACAGGGAGAGTGTCCGTCTGGGGAGAAAACAGGAGCCATGGTGGAGGGATGTCCCCTCCCTGTGCCACGGCCTTCTGGAATCAGCTTTATCTCTCGCTCACTCACCTTCAGATCCAGCTGCAGACCCTGGTATCTGTATTTGACCGTGAAACTGATGATGTGCAGCTCCTCTGTCACAGCCAGCAGACCCTGCCACAGCCATACACAGGGATCAGAGGCCTCCTATGGCAAGTTCCTCATCCCCCCCACCCCCTGTTCTGGCCTTACTTTATTGCTGCACTTTCCTGAGCCACCTGAACGCTGCTCCACCAGTGTCTGTGAATTGAGGAAAAGATGGAGAACACCAGCGCGGTCAACCCAAGGTCCTTGAAACCATTGTTTTGCTTCAAACCTTGCCAATTTCCACTAGCCCGTTCCTCTGTACTGCAAGTCTAAATTACTAACCTTTCCTGTGTGTGTGTGTGTGTGTGTGTGTGTGTATTCTGGGGATTGAACCCAGGGCTTTGCACATGCTAGGCAAGCACTTAACCACTGAGCTACAGTTCCAGCCCTATTTTCATTTCATTTTTTAAAATTTTACTTTGAGATAGAGCTTCATTAAATTGTCCAGATGGGTTGAATGTACTTTTGCAATCCTTTTGCCTCAGCCCCCTACCTAACTGGATACTGGCACCAACATAATCATTACTCTCCTTACCAGGAAGCCAAAGTCCCAAATTAAGCCTTGTCTCTGCCCCTTTTCAGGAGTCAAAGTTTTCTGGTTTGAGGTCAAAATGTTAAATTTTCGGAAGCTGCTATAGGAAGAAGAGGACAGGTGTACACAAAGAGCACAGTTATTCTTGATTTCTACCCCACAAGAAAATAAAAACAAAAGTTCTACTCATTGTACACCTCCCTTTCTCCCTTTGTCCACATCCCATCCAAATCTCTCCTCCCTATTTGTGCTCCCACCAGAGCTTCCAAAGTTGGTTGTGTAGTTTATGTATATAGTGCAAAAATGTTTGCAAGTTTCCTTACCAGATACTCACCTATGTAACTGAGGAGGATTCCTAAAAAAAAAAAATTTTTTTTTAAATCATTTGAGGTAAAAAAGTACAGCAATTGCAAATCTGGTCTTTGGGATCAGACTGACTTGAGTTCAAATCTACCTCTGCAGTCCACTAGCTTTGTAACCTTTTTTTTTTTTTTTTTTTTTTTTTTTGTGTTTTTCCTTTTTATCGGTACGGGGGACCCAACTCACGACTGCCTGCTTCCAAGGCAGGCGCTTATGCCACTGAGTAGCTGTGTAACCTTACAGCAGAGACAAAATGTCTCTGAGCTAATCTCCTTGCCTGCATGGTGCATTCTTAATACCTGAGGGGTTATTAATCTGTGAAATGAGTATTTGACATGTTGTATGTCAAGTAAATACTCAACAGGAGACAGGAGTTATTATTTCTGTGAGTTAAGAATGCAAAGGATAACAGATAGTCCCAGGACCCACTGTAAACAGTGAAGAGCTCCTGCACCCTACCTGTCCTTGTTGCCTTTGCTTCAGCCCTACGGCTATCCTGCTCCAACCTACCTGTCAATGGAGACCTCGGCCGTTAGTAACTCATTTCCTTCCTGGAGCCTTACCAGCAGCCTGGGGAAAGGAGATAAGACAAGACAGTTGCCAATGCATGCCTGTAATCCTGGCTCTTAGGAGGCTGAGGCAGGCTGATACCTGTGAGCTGAAGGCCAGCCTGAATTACATAGCAAGCCCCTTCTCAAACGAAAAAAAAAAAAGGGAAATGATTTTTTTCTTGGTACCGGGGATCAAACTCATGACCCTGCACTTGCTAGGAGGCACTTATGCCACTGAGCTCAATCCCCAGCCCCTGGGAAATGATTTTTAAAAAGGTTTATGAATCAAACAGAAAGGGAGAAGACTGAAGGCCAGTTGATCTGTAAAACTAGAGACACACAGTGGCAGCACAGGTGAAATGCCAACCTTGTTCGGACAGTAAACTTGTTCCCAGTCTTTAGGATGAGGGGCCGATGGGGAGTCTGCGGCATGCAGGGCTGTTTCTCTACCACAAAGGCTCTGGGGAAACAGGAATGAAGAGAGTACAATGCTCAGGATCTGTAAGGATGCTTTTCCTTATTGCTTCCCTTTCTGTCCCTAGAAGCCCCTCTCTGGCCTCCAGACCTATGCAGCAGACGCTGTAGCAACTCTGTGACAGGGGCATTCAGCAGCTCTACCCCTTTTTTCAGGTGGTCGCCTTCATAGTGAACCATGTTGCTTAATTCCTTCAGCTGTTTCAGCAGCTGCCGCAGGTGAAACAAAAGCTCTGCTCCAGCTGTGAACCTGGGAGACAGAATCCAAGAAAGGGAATACTTGAGTTTACCAGAGCGCAGTCTCAAGCAGGTTTTGAGAGCTTGCCTTTAACTGTGTGGACAGTTGGAAACTGACTGGGGCAAGAAAAAAATCCAAAAAGCATATAACAGGATTCATAGTGCAAGACATGTAGATCAAGGCCACTTTCACATACATTACTCATAAAAGGTTTATAGACATAACAGTGAACTTTCGTACCATGCTTGCTATATGTGATTGATCAATTTTTTTTTTGCCAGGTGATTGTGCCACTGAGTTAACTGCCCCCCTGCCCCGGCCCTTGAGCTATATTAATGCTTTACACCTATTAGTGCACGTAATCCTCAAACCCATCCCATGAAGTGGGTGTTATAACTGGTCACATTTTACAGGTGATAGGGCCAGGAATATAGTTCAGTGGCCAAGTGCCTGCCTGCCAAGCATGAAGTTGTAAGTGCAATCCCCAGGACCAAACAAATAAATAAGTAAAAGTAATACAGGCACAAAAAGGTTAAATGACTTGGATAAAGTCCTGAAGCTAGAAAGAGATGACATGTGATCCCAGGCAGTCACTGCAGAAGTAGTCTTTTGGTTATTTTAGTTTTTGTTTTTTGGGTTTTTTTTTTTTTTTTTTTTTTTTTTTTTGTCTTTTTCCTTTTTATCGGTACCAGGGATTGAATTTACGACTGCCTGCTTGCAAGGCAGGCGCTTATGCCGCTGAACTAAATCCCCAGCCCCCGGTTATTTTAGTTTTTCTATTTTTTTCTTTTTTCGTTTTCTTTTGAGACAGAATCTTGCTATGTAGTTTAAACTGACCTTTAACCTGGTAGGTAGTCCAGCCTTGAACTCATAGCAAGCCTCCTCGAGTGCTGATTTTACAGGTACGTGCAACCACAACTGGCTGGACTGTTTTGTTTTTTTGAAATGCTGGGGACCAAACCTAGGACCTTACACATACTAGGCGAGTGTGCTACCACTGATGTACACACCCAAACTCTGAATTCAAAATTTTTAACTATTAGACTTTAGTGTCAAGCCAGGTGTGGCAGTGCATGCCTATAATCCCAGTACTCAGGAGGCTGAGGCAGGAGGATTGCCAAGTGTTTGAGGCCAGCTTTGGCTACATAATGAATTCAAGAGACTACACAATGAGATTCTGTCTCAAGAAACAAACAAACTTTAGTGTCTCTGTGCTTAAAAAAAAAAGAGAGAGAGATAATAAACAGTGTGACAGGAGAAAACAATCACATACAACATATTGGAAACCAGGCTAGGACAATTTTGGGTAGGCAATCTGGAGTTCTTTCAATTAATTAATTAATTAATTATTTTTTGGTCTTTTTGAGACAGGGTCTCATTACATAATTCAGGCTGGCTTTTAGCTCACTGTGTAGCCCAGGCTGGTCTTGAACTTGCAACAATCTTCCTGCCTTAGCTGGAATTACAGGTGTGTGCCCCCATACCAGCCTCTAAAGTTATCTTTTTAAAGCCTCCACAATGTGCATGGTTTTCTTTTTTGTCTTGAGACAAAAGTCTCACTATACAGTTCAGGCTGGCCTTGCAATGACCCTCCTGCCTCAGCCTCCTGAGAGCTGGGATTACAGGCGTGAGCCACCACGCCCAGCTATGTGCATGTTTTATAGTATTCTATTTCTTTCCTTTGTGTATGTCTTAGGGGAGAATGAACCCAAGGCCTCCTCACTGAGCTACAACTCCATCTCTTTTTTTTTTTTTGTCTTTTCAGACATGGTCTCACTGTGCAGTTCAGGCTAGCCTTGAGTTCACTTTGTAGCCCAGGCTGGTCTCGAACTTGCAATGCCTCCTCCTGCCTCTGCCTCCCAAGTGCTGGGACTATAGGAGTGCGCCACCACAGCGAGTTTTATTTTTCATATTAAGACAGGGTCTCACCAGGTGGGGGCTCAAATTTGAAACTTTCTGCCTCAGCTTGAGTAGCTGGAGGCATGCCCAGCCACTATTTATTTTTTTTTCCAAATCCATTTTATTTCAAGGATAAAAAGAAAGAGAAGGAAAAAACCAACAAAATTTCCAAACACATCAATTAGGGGGCAACAATGGTACATATGTTGCACACTGTCATCCCCAAATCATTCACCCAGCACATAGATATCTGCATTCAATTGTCTGAACAATACCAGTGCAAATCTTTTGCTTCAGTGAACACAGAAAAGTCAGTAGAACTATTTTAACCATTTTTTATATACATACACATATACATATATTTTCCATTTATTTTCTAATGCTGGCAATCAAACCTATGGCCTTTACATGCTAAGTACCTGCTTTACCAAAGGGCAACACTGCCAGCCCTTGAAATATTCCATTCTAAACCATAGCCTAAGGGGTAAAAAAAAATTTTCTGCAGTATTCGGAGACTGAGCTCAGGGCTTTGCAAAGTTGTATCCCCAGTCTTATTTATTTTGAGATGATGTCTTGCTTAGTTGTCCCCTAGTTGTTTAATTTTTTTTTTTTAATTTTTTGGTAGTCTGAGACAGGATTTTACTGTGTTGCCCAGGTTAGCTTCCAACTCATGGTGATCTTTTTGCCTTCCTTCAGTGCTGGAATCACAAGTGTGCAACATCACAACTGGTAAAAAACTGTGTTCTTCTACAACAGTACACATATTATATAAATTATATAAAAACATATTTTCCATGGAAGGTATTTTACATGTCCAAAAAATTACACTAAAATTATAAGATAGTTCAGACGTGATATGAACTGTCATCTAGTTGAACATATGCATATACATATGAGTGGTGCCTCAGTTCATGAACTTGTTTTATGATTTGAGGGAAGATGTCTGCATTTGTGCTTGTGTGGGGAAGATGGCCACATCACGAGATGTAGAGCTTGTGTGAATGGAACCAAAATTTTGTTGAACACTTTTGTTTGAGAATGGAATTGTTTGCAAACAGAAGCGTTCGTGAACTGAGGTACTGCTATATTTGTACAGAGTCTTGCTATGTGGTTCAGTCTGGTCTTGAACTAACTATGTAGCTCAGGCTGGCCTTGAACTCAGCAATGCTCCTGCCTCAGCCTCCCAGGATTATAAATGTGCACCACCAAACCTGGCCGGGTGATCAATCAATTTATGGGTAGTTTTACTTATCTTTTCCTTTAAATTGTCTGAATATTGTTCACTTGGTATACTATTAGTGTGTGTGTGTATTATATAATCAGAGAAAGAGGAATGGGGTACATCTCAGTGGAAGAGAACTTGCCTAGCATGAACAAAGTGCCAGAAAAAATTATTTCTGTTAAAAACAATGAAATAGAAAGGAACAGTGGCACATGCCTGTAATTCCAGCTTTTGAGAGGCGGAGACAGGATAACTATGAATTCAAGTCAACCTGGGAAACTTCGCAAGACTCTGTCCCAAAATCTGAAAAACTGCAAAGGGCTGGGGATATAATTTCTGTGCAGGCGCTGGGTTCAATTCCCACTACTATTAAGAAAAAACAAAATAAGGAAGAAACAAAGGACCAACACTACAGTAATGTCATTACTCAGAGAAAAGGGTGTTTAACTCTGGGTATTTAACCCAAGAAGCCAGCCTGGGATATATAGTAATCCTGGGAACTTACAGTACAGAAATAATTGGGTACAAACCAAAATGTAGTAAAAGAGTACTTACTGCATTACTGTTCAAAATACCAAGAAATCATCTGTAGGTCCTCATTTGCAGCTCATATACACTGATGGATATGCTGACAACTGTAACTTATATATTGGTCCCATACCTTAGCACTACATATCTGTATTAGTATTTTTTTTCTTTTTGGTACCGTGAATGAAACTCAGGACTTCGCACTGGCCAGGTGGTGCTGTGCCACTGAGTTAAATCCCCAGTCCCTGTATTGGTATTTTTGAGACAGGGTCTTGCTACGTAGATCAAGCTGATTTTGAACTATGTGGCCTAGGCTGGTCTCGAACTTGCAGTGATACGGTGTCAGCCCCCAGAGCATTGGGATTGCAGGAGTGCATAACCACATTCAGCTCTATGTATCTGTTTTCAAATTTATCTGAAAAATTATGTTTTTAAAAAATTGCATACTTTGAAAATTTTAAATTATAGGGACTTTTCTAATGAGAAATATTTGAAATTTCTGGGTTTTTTTTCTTTTGAGATAGGGTCTTGCTATATAGTTCACTATGTATCCCAGGATAATACTGAACTTGCCATCATCCTCTTGTCTCAGGCTCCTGAATGTTGACCTCACAAGCATGCACCATCACGCCCAAGTACTGAGTTGATATTGTGCAAGAAAGTTTGAAAGAGTATGTTAGTAAATTCTCTACATCATGATAAAATTATTCAGAGTTTCATACGTAGTACAGCAGCTCCTTTAGTGTGACCTATTGAAAGTCAGCCCTAACTGGGTGTAGTGACAAACACCTGTAATCCCAGCACTCAGGAGGATGTGGCAGGAGGATGGCTATGAGTTTAAGGCCAGCCTGGGCTACACAGCGAGACCATATCTCAAAAACAAAACCACCCCCAACAAAGGAGGGAGAGCCCAGTGCATTTACACATCCCATAATCCCAATCCATGAGAGGCCAATGCAAGGAGCATCTGAGTTCAAACCTAGTATTAACAACAAAGTGAAGCTTTGTCTCAAAGTAAAAAAAAATTTTTTTTTTTTGGTACCAGGAATCAAATTCAGGACCTCATTCTTGCCAGGCAGGTACTGTGCTGCTGAGCCATATCTTTGGTCCATTAAAACTTTTCTTAAGAGAACTGGGGATGTAGTTTAGTGTCAAATCAGACTATGGATTAATCCATCATTTTCACCAGTGCTACACCTGGGCTCTGGGTTCCCTGCGTGGTGAGGATGAAAAGCAGGGAACTGCCATGGCCAGACCAGCCAGCTGCGCTCCACCCAGGGAGCAGAGCAGTGAGAGCAAACTTCCTGCGTGCACAGGGGACTGCACCCTACAGAACACAGCAGCCAGGACAGCACTGAGGTATGTATGGGGCTCAGGAGAGTGTATGTTTCCTCTCACCATTTCTCCAACTGTTCCAGCTCAGGTTTTAGTGGTGCTCCAATGCAGGCTTTTTGCTGCTGGACTTTCCATTCATCCAACTCTGGCAGCAGTAGTTCGACAAGGGTAGTCAGTCGGCCTATCAGCGCTTTGGAGGTATCCAGCACCTCCTAAGAGAGACCCAATGTGGATGCCAAGTACACTTGTCCCATCACTGCTAACCTCCAACCAAGGAAGAGGAGGAAAGGGAGCCACGGTTAAAGAACCAGGACCCCAGATTCTTCTATTTTCCCTTCTGCTCATTCAGTCCTCTGCCTCCCTCCTTTTTTTTTTTTTTTTTTTTTTTTTTGGTACTGGTGCTTGAACTCACAACTGTGCACTTGTAAGTCAGGCACTAATGCAGCTGAGCTAAATCCCCAGTCCCACCTTTCTCCTTTTGTCCAGCTCATTGAGAGTTTCTTGCACAAGCTGCAGCTGTCTGTTATGATGCAGGTCCGAGGAGGAGGTCTTTCCTGTATTCCCTGAATAGCAAGAGTTCGAGTCAGACCAGGGGCTCCTTCCCCTCTCCTTCCTACCCCATGGCCTCAGTCGGAATCAGAAAGAGGAGTCTTGGTTTGGTTTTGAGACAGGGTGTCTCACTGTGTAGTTCAAAGTGGCCTTGAGTTCACTAGCTCAGGCTGACCTTGAACTCATGACAATCCTCTTTCTTCAGCCTCCCAAGCAAGTACTGGGATTACAGGTGTGTGCCACTAAGCTCATCTGATGAATCTTTGGAGGGAGAAGGAAAAGCCAAGCAAAGCACAGACACACAGGTAATTAAGAATGGAATGGAAGACTACCCCCATCTCCACCCCTGACTCCAGCTAAGGCAGTTTCCTAAGCATTACACAATCTAGCACCCTGAGCTCTGTATGGCAGCAGGTAAAGCTGACTGCTGTTTGCTGGTGCTTTGCCTTTCTGTTCTCCACCCTTGACCTCCCAGCAGACACCTGTCCTCTCTCCCACCCCTTTGTGTGTTTCCTACCTTTAATGACTACCATGTATCGGAAGCTGAAGACATCATTAAGGTCTTTCACTTGTCTGATGGACTTCACCAGTCTCTGCAAAAGGGATGGAAACTCAGGGAGCCTGCTTCCAAAGGAAGAGGCAGGGTAAGCCCTACTCACCCCAACTCTTGCCATGAACCAACCTCCATCATAATCCTTAAATCCCGGATCCTGGATTCAATTTCAGACTGCTGGCTCTCCCCAGGTACTTCAAGAGTTGGATTTCCTTGCCCCTGAAAAATTCTGACCTTTTAATCCCTAAAATACAGGCCTGACATTGATGCGGGGCAACTCTGAGACAATTTCCCTGAATCTTTCCCATAGTCCCTATCCATTCCAGGTGCCTCCAACAAGACCACAAGTTGTTCTCACCACCTCAGCCCTCTGAGCCTGGTTCAGAATTCTTTTCTCTTCCAGAAGGAGATTAAAGACTATTCCAGCCAACTGAGTAGCACCCTGGGGTAAGGCCTACAGTAGGAAAAGAGGAAGGACTGATTGAGTTCAACTACCTTTGATAATCTGCCACTCTAGCGCCTGCCACTAATGTCCCCAGTAGTTTTCCCTCCCTGGGTCTCTAGCCCTGTTCCCTTTCACCCCAAACCAGGCATTTTCCCAACAGCATCAGCCAGACTCTGATCTTTTTTTTTTTTCAATCGGTACTGGGGATCAAACTCACGACACATAGTTGCAAGGCAGGCACTTATGCCGCTGAGCTAAATCCCCAGCCCCCAGACTCTTCTGTCTTCCAGTACTGCCCCAAGACGAGACACTGTCCTTCTTGTCCCAGCTCTGCTCTCTTCCCTTTGTGCCTCCAGGTACCACACCCTCAATCTTACTCTACACTTGGTTGTCAGTTCTAGCACTGTCGTACCTGAATGTCCCGGCAGAATTTTCGCAAATTGTGCTGTAGCAGTAAGGACTCTGGGTCTTGGCTGCAGCGGCCACATTCATTGTTCAGCTGGTCCACAAAATGGAAGAATAGCATGTTGGCCTTGGAATTATCATTGCTTAGTGCAGCTTCCTGCCTGAAGACCAGAAATGACAGGATAAATGTCTCTGTGAGGGACCTGCTGTCCTAATCTTTCAACCTCTTTTAAGATCCTTCCAGGATCCTGGGAGCTCAGCAAAAACGAACTATCCTTTTCATCCGCCCAACTCCTGAAATGCTCACCAGTTCTGGTCTTCAATCCAGATAGCCAAGTGCTGTCGTATGTCCACTGGCAGGATGCTGGATAAGTAGAGCTGGTCCAGTTGGTCCTGAAATGGGCTGTCAAGATTTTGCAGCCTCTCCCATTGAGCCATTTGGGTTGTGAGATGTAGGTTCTCAACAGGATATTTGGTTGGACTAAATCATATACAAGTAAGAAACACAGAAAACATTGAAGTGTATAGTGACTTAACTCCCAAGCTTGGTCTTACCCATCCCTTCCCAGAAAAAACCACTGTTACGGCTTGGTACACATTCTCACATTCTTCTGGGAAGTACTATTTAATAGTTCCAATTTGCAACTTTTTCTTTTTTGGTCTTTTTGAGACAAGGTCTTGCTATGCAGTTCAGGCTGGACTTGAGTTCACTTTGGAGTCCAGTGCTGGGATTACAGGCATATGCCATTACACCTGGATGACTCTTTTGTTTTAATGGTAATTTTCTACTTATTTAGTTAGTCATGCTGGGTACTAAACTAGGGTCTTCGCACTGAACTACACCTCCAATCCTTTTAAAAAATTTTTTGTTATTGAGATAAGGTCCCTTTAAGTCACTAAATTGCGTAGGCTGGGCTTGAACTTGCAATCCTCCTGCCTCAGTCTCCTAGCGTGCTGGGATTACAGGTATCTGTCACCATAAATGGCTTTTAATGGCAATTTTCAAACACACAAGTAGAATGGATAATAAAAGGGTCATCCATGGACCCATCATCCAACTTAACAAATAATATTTCTACTATTTTATTTCATCTATCTCTCCTGATTCATTTTAAATATGTTTATGTTCATGCTGGAGCAAAGATCAATGTTGTCTTAAATATTTATGATCTCTACTGGACGCTTTTCTAAGGGCTAAAATTTTCTTGAAAGCAAAGTAAATACAATCTACAAACTGCCCATCTTGTATGAAGACAGGGCTTCATTCTAAATGATGTCTAAATACCAGGAGAGTTATTCAATCCCTAAGACTGTAACATTTTTGTTACCTCTGTCAAGCTCTGATTCTGCATGTGGATTATCAACTTTGTGAAGGCACAGAAATTTCACACAAACCATTTTCTTTAATATCACCAAGCAGGTGGTGCCATGTGTCTTTCTCCTGACCGTTTCCTGACCACTGTCACCTGACAACTATTAAGAAAATTAAAGGTTTTTATTCTTGCTGCAGCTTAAGCCTAACAGAACAAACAGGAATATCTGTGTTTTTAAAAAGTTGCATGATTTTATCACAACCATGGAAAACTGGGGATTGAACAGGAGTGCCTACTTGACATTTCAACTCTTTTAGTAGTGCTTGATTTTTCTTTTCTTTTTTAGGGGGAGAGGTGGATGCTGGGGATCCTCCTAACGCTTGCACAAAGTACTGTACTAGGGAGCTACACTCCCAACGTGAAACACCAATTTTTGACGAACCCGATGGCTGGCATTAAAGGAGCAAAGCAGCAAGTAAGGTCTGAGATTTCAAAATGAGAAGAAAAAAAAAAAATGCAAACAGAACTAGTCTCCCCGAGTATGTATTCTGCACACTAGATAAAGGTCTCGATACTTAATATTTTTTCCTCTCTCACTCTCTCGGGCACATATTATGCAGTAGATAAGATTTTTTTTTTTTCTAAAATGAACTAGATTTTGTAACCTTAAGCAAATCGTTTCATCTTTCAGTAGCATTTATTCTCTTACATATAAAAGATACGATACAAGTTTGGACATTTTTCCATAAAGATTGAAAGTAATGCGGAGCAAAGGAAAAAGGTTTAGAAAAACCTCAAACCCACTATTATTGCCAGAGGCTGCCTGTCACATTTAGCAGGCTGCAAGGTAGTTTTGGAGGGGGCGCTAGGGTTTGCTAGGCTGCATAAAACAGCAAAATCCAGACCAAGCAGATGAAAGCTGCTATTTCAACTAGAAGACAGAAGCTGCCAGAGCCCCGGGGTCCATCGCCCTCCGCCCTCCACCGGGAAGACCTCGGCCCCCCCGCCCCCACCCGTAGGCTCCCGGCTCCGTATCTTTGTGGAATCCGAGCACCCCCTCCCTCCAGTAGCTCTGGCCGCCACTTCCTGTCCTCGGATAGCTGAAGTGCCAAGGCTCTCGGCCTTGCCCACCACGTCGACCCCTACCTCGAGAGTAGCGGGCTCGTAAGCACGGAGCTGATGAGCAAGGTTCGTTTTTCCCAGACCGCAGCCCCGATACTGACCGCCACTCAGCCAAGCTCTTCCCCAAACAGTGAGATTATTGGCACTTCTACAATCCCACCCCACGATGGGCGGAGTAAATAGCTCCCAGGCACTACTGATTGGTGGAGAAGCTCAAATTCCGCCCCGTGCCGAGAGGCGGGGTTCCCAGTAAGTGGAGCAGCCCAGCGCGCAAACAGCTGACTTTCGAGAACCCGCCGCCCAGAGACCGAGGAACCGAAACTAACTTGGGGGCCTGGGAGGAGCCTAAGGTTTAATAGGAAGGGGCGGGACCAGAATTCTGATACTTTGAGATGGTAGAGGGGCAGAGGTAATAAAAAACAGTAGTAATTTTTTAAAAATTAATTTTATTGGTATACTCCTAGATAGCACATAATCATATTCATCATTATGGACTTTGCGTCTGTGTATAATATATCTTGATTCTTCTTTTTAAGACAGGGTCTTGCTGTCCTTTGGTTCAGGCTGGCCTTGAATTCACTGTGTAGCCAAGGTTAGAACTTACCTTGGTCCTCCTGCCTTAGCCTCCCAAGTGCTGGAATTAAAGATGAGAGCCACACACCCCCAACTTTAATAATAATGATTTATTGAGGTTACAGCTATAGCACCAAGTTTACACTATAGGTTTAAATTGCTGTAACAACCCGTTCAGGACTGGGGATTTAGCTCAGTGGCATAAGCACCTGCTTTGCAAGCAGGCAGTGGTGAGTTCAATCCCCGGTACCGTTTAAAAAAAAGACCAAACAACAACAACAACAACAAAAACACTGAGGTGGAAAATCATTATCTCTACTTAAGAAATTTAAAATTGAGTTTTGAGGAAAAAAGATCTCTCATCAGTAATGACAGACTGTAACAAGTGCAGATGGATTTCAAACCAAATCTTCTCACTACATACTGCAAACTGAAATCTCAGTATTTTACAGCACTGCTTTCTTTCTGGTTAACAAATCAGAAATTTGGATTCCATTCACCACACACACCTCAGAAATTTAGATTTGAGCACACATTGTATAGTGTGGGGATTTATTCTTTCTGTGGTTACCATGACTCACACCAAAACACGCCCATAGCTGTTGAATAAGGCCCACCCCCAGAAGGGAGCTGGACTTACTTCTTGGGGTATGGAAAGAGCTGTGGTCACTGTTTCTTCCAAGTGACTCACATAGGAAGTGGTCCACAAGTCCACCATGTTGGCCTCTAGCTGAGGGGTGCTTGCCACTTTCTCTTCCGAGTAATACCTGATCAAGTGCTCTACCCCAGCCTTCAATGCTGGTTTAAGAGAAGCACTAATTGCTAGACCCATGGGCCCCCCTGACATTCCTGCCATAGCTGCCAGAAGGTCATATCCCAGATCTATGGCACCATGTTTACCTCGTTCCTTAGCCTTGTCCGAGCAATTCTGAATCGCATAATACAAAGCTGTGCCTATATTGTAATAGGTTCCCACTCCTGGCAACAGCCGGATGACATTGTAGACTCTCTCCTCCTGCTCATTCTCACAGTTGGTGGTGGTGGGGGAGCGCCGCGTCCTCTTTGAGTACTCCCTGGCTAGCAGCTGTAGAGCTGAGGCGAGAGCTTCCACAGACACTCTGCTCTCTGTGCTTCCACCTTTCTGGAGCCCTTGAAGGTAGTGGATGAGGACCTGCGTAGCATTCAGACCACCCCAGCGGTAGAGCTGAAGGTCCAGGGCCTGGACTTCAGCCTGACAGCCAGCTTCCTCCAGGGCGTTCCTGAGAGCCAGGCCAACCAGATACTTGGGTAGAGGGGTCATGTGGGTGAAGCCAGGGAGGGACTTTGGGAGCAGGGTCTGGCAGGAAAAGGGGATTGAGGAAGATGGTTGGGATCTGAAGGCTGAGACAAGAGGTGTTGAGACATTTGTCTGCTTTCTGTATGAAATGGCATCCACAGGGTACAGCAGGAGGTAGCAAAGAAGAAGGCCAACTGCTATCATGATGAGTCTGAGGCTATGCATGGCTGGTGCAGAATACCCTGGAAAGGGGAGAAACCCAGAACTTTTAGTCTTTTCTATAAGGGCTGTAGTCCGAAGCAGCAAAGACTATCGGGGGTACCTCATCAATCACCTACATCCAAGCTTCTGCGCTTTTTAGCTCAGGGCCTAGGAAATGGGGAACACAACACAGTTACTCCCACTTGGATCTCCCTCTTTTCAGCTCACAAAGACTTCCTGTTTTATCTCCATCCCTTTATAGGGACCCAGTTTACCACACAGTCCAGTCACGGAGAAGTGAGGCTGCTCTGTAGATTTGGTTGCTTGTCGGTCCTGCTCTGCCCAGTTCTCTGTCCCACAGAGAAAGATATTTGATTTCCCTTGTGATCAGTGAGGAATGTAACCTCTGCAAATATTTGCCCAATTATGCTCAATGCTCAGACCTTGTCCCCTTGTCACACACTCACCTCAAGGCCTAAAACTTTGTTCTTTGACCTTTCCTTTATGTCTCTGTCACATTCCCATCAGCTCCTATCAGCTCATGATAGGAGCCAAGGAGATGCAGAATAGAAGAGATGAGATGTTTTTGAGTCTCTCATGTTATTTCTTTTCAATTTAAAAATTAGATTAATGAGCTGTGGATTTAGTATTAGCTGGGGATTTAGAAAGTCTATGGAACATGAATGAGAAGAGATTAAAATGCTTCTTGTGCCTACTACATATTAAATGCATGATAATTGATGGCCGAAAGAAGGGCGAAATGGCTTATGAAACACTGGCACAAAGGGACAAGAAACTATCATGTTATGTGAAATTAGCCAGGTTCAACTCAGAGAGTTAAATATTATATGACTTTTTCTTATATGAGAAATCAAACTAATTAATGAAATAAATGAGAGGATAGGAATCCAGGAGTTAGACTTCTGGAGGCAAGCAGGAAGGAGGAGAAAAGGAAGGAGGATGGCTGGAATGGAACTGAACTGGTTATAATGTACTAAATGCATGCACCATGTGCCACCTTCCCTGAGTAAACCCATCATCATGTAGGGTTTTTTGGTTTTTTTTTTTTGAAACAGAGTCTCACTGTGTAGTTCAAGCTGGCCTTGACATCATTTGTAGGCCAGGCTGGTCTGTTCTCAAACTCATAATGATCCTCCTGCCTCAGTCTCCTGAGTGCTGGGATTATAAGCATGCATCACCATGCCCAGCCCATCATGTAATTTTAACACACACTAATAAAATAAAAAAGAAACAAAAATGCAGGCTGGGAGGGTAAGGCAGGAAGATCTCAATATAGCGTCCATCCAGGGTACCTTAGTGACTGAGCTGGAATTTAAGAAAAAATTTTAATAACATAAATTTAGGGCATGGGTGTTAGCTGGGTGTGGTGGCTCGTGCCTGTAATCCCAGCACTCGGGAGGCTGAGGCAGGAGGATCGTTTCGATTTTGAGACCACCCTGGGCTACAAAGTGAGCTCAAGGCTAGCCTGAACTGCATAGTGAGACCCTGTCTCAAAAAGACAAAAAAAAAAAAAAAATAGTATTCAATGCAACTGAGTGTGGTAGTACATGTCTGTAATGCCAGCGCTCAAGAGGCTGAGGCAGGAGGATTGCTGAGTTCAAGGCCTGTTTGGACTACAAAGTGAGTTCAAGGCCAGCCTAAACTGCATAGTGAAATTCTGTCTCAAAAAGTTATTAACAACAACAACAAAAAAATGGTATCCAGCCCTTCTCACTATCATGTCCCATTTTTTTTTTTTTTTTTTTTTGTACTGGGAATTGGACTCAGGATTTTGTGCTTGCCAGCCAGGTGTTACGCCTCTGAGCTATATTCCTGGCCCACCATGTCCCATTCTTGAACATGGTCCTGGGAAAGAATTGTCCTCTGTATGGCACTGAGTATCTGAAGTAAACCTGAACAAATTCCTGAATCATTTTCCCCATAAAGCACTTCAGAGTAACTGTGGAACATTTGATTAGGTATATTGTCATTGTGCTTGGGCACTGAAAACGTTATTAACTTGGGAGCTTTTTTATAATTCTTTAGTGGGCTCCTAGACTCAGACCTGAAATTCTGGGTAATTTTGACAACAAAAGCTTTCAACTGTGATGCCAGGAAAATGGGAGATAGCTGTCTTAGTAGACTCGATTATCTTCTGCACTAACTGGCAGACAAACCACCCCAGTGGGCATGTTTGTCACCAACAATACATTCCTCAGTTCTGACTGGCCTTGAACTTGCAGTAATCCTCCTGCCTCAGCCTCCCAGATGCTGGGATTACAGATGTGTGCCATCATGCTCAGCTTCATCTATACTCTTGGAAAATATGGGAGACCCTTACTGGTTTCAGAGGAAAAAGCTAGAGGAAGAAGACAGTCCAGACATCTCATTTGCTTGGATATCTTCATGATCTGAGTGACTATTGTTTTTCATCTCTCCTCCTTTACCTCAACCAGAATCATGAGGAAGCCAGAAAGCCAGTAGCTTCCAAAGCAGTGCAAGACAGCATTTACAAATATTTACGCATCTCTTCCTGGTCCAGACTTTGTCTTTCTCACCTTTGCCCCATGATGACAAATTGATCTTCCCCATTGGGCTCCACTAGTCCTACTTCATATGGTCCTGAGACTTAAGTAGACTTATAGGTGAGAGGAGGAAAAGGTTTTCTCTATCTTCTGGAGAGGAGAAAGGCTAAGGCAGAAAGGCTGGGTGGGTATCATTGCTAAGGAGCACCATTCATAATATTAAAATGAAAAATTGAGTAGTATGAGGAAACTGGACACAGTGATGAGTCGGAACAAATAAGAGCAATTTTTATTTTTCACTTTTCTAATTCCAATGGAAAATACAGATAAAACAGTTTATTGCCCAGGCATAGTGGCGAGTTCAAACTATATAGCCTAACTATATAGCCTGGGCTATATAGTTAGACCCTGTCTCATAAGAACCAAATAAGTAAATATACTTAAATAAATAAACAAAATAAAAACATATTTATCATCTGAACAATAACTCCTTTCAAATCTTTGTAGGACCTGGGCTTTTTTTAGGTTTAGTTGGTATGCTAGCCCAAAATAAGGGGAAGAAAACGTTTAATGCTTTCTAAAATTGGTATAAATCTCCAACTATCTTCATGTTATGAAGCTTTTTAAAATCTATCTTGTCCTTTACTTTTCTTTATACCAGGGATCAAACTCACCACCTCACACTTGCCAGGCAAGTGCTTGCACCGGTGAGTTAAATTCCCAGACCCAATGTCACAAGTTTTTTCTGACACTGTCACCTCTGGCAGACAGTCAAACGGAACAGCCCATGGAGGGGTCCAGAGTCCTCTCCTATTTGTTTTTCTCCAGTTCTTTCAATTCATATGAGTGGCCTTTGACAACCAAGAGCAAAGAGAGAAGACCAGAGAGGAGCAAGTCTTCAGGAACACATCACCTGGACAAAGGCGAGGTCATGAGGTTTTTTTTTTTTTTTTTTTTTTTTTTTTTTATTGGTACTGGAGATCAAACTCACGACTGCCTGCTTGCAAGGCAGGTGCTTACAGTGCTGAGCTAAATCCCCAGCCCCTGAGGTCATGAGTTTGATTCCTTATACAAAAAAACAGGGGCAAATTGCGAAAATGGGAAGAAAAAGAACTAGGTTCCAAGGAGTTCCATACTAAACCCTAAATTTCTGGAACTCTAAGACTATAGTTTCTGTACATCAGAAAGGAATAACATTTAGCCCCCTTTCTCAAATTTATCAGGCCAAAAATGGCGGCACATACCTGTAACCCCAGCACTCAGGAGGCTGAGGCCGAATCGCTTTGAGTTTGAGGCCAGCCTGGACTATACAGTGAGACCCTTTCTCAAAACCTCCAAAAAAGAATGGGGATTTTAGCTCAGTGGCCTAAGTGCCTGCCTTGCAAGTGGGAGGTCATGAGTTTGATCCCTGGTACCAATAAATAAAAAAAAGTACAGCTGGGCTGGGGATTTAGCTCAGCAGCATAAGTGCCTGCCTAGTAGAGCAGGCAGTCGTGAGTTCGATCCCCGGTAATGATAAAAAGGAAAAAGACCAAAAAAAAAAGTACGCAATATGATTTAGGCATCCAACTTTGCGTGCGTGCATGTGTGTGTTTGTGGCAAAATCTTGAAAATATATTTATACATATGCACATGCATGGCAGTACTCTCTTTTTGGTCTTTTTCTTTTTTTATCGGTACCAGGGATCAAACTCATGATCACACACTTGCACGGCAGGTGCTTATGCCGCTGAGCTAAATCCGCAGCCCTAAGGCAGTACTCTTAAGGACAGCCAACAAGTGCAGCACCCCAAGTGTTCCTCCATGGATGAATGGATGCACAGGATGTGGTCTACACAGATGGTTACCAATTTAAAATGGTCTGATTTACAATTGTTCAACTCTTTGTGAGACAGGATCTTGCTATGTAGGTCAGGCTAGCCTCGAATTCCTGGCGATCTGGCCTCTCAAGTGCTAGGCTCACTGGTGCCTCGCTTGTAGAGTATCATTTAACCTTGAAAAAGCCAGGAATTCTGACACATTTACAGTATGAATGAACCCCAAGGACAGCATAAGTGAAGTAAACCAGTCACAAAAAGACAAGTTCTGTATAATTCCAGTTGGGCAAGGTTGCTTAGAGGACTGAGCTTCATTATAACAGAGAGTAGAGTGTTAGTGGCCAGTGGCAGTGGGTGAGGGAAAGAGGCAGTTTCTCGTTTTGGTTTGTTTTTGCGGTAAGTGCCCAGGGGTGACTGAACGCTCAGGGAAGGGGCGGGGTTTGGCCATAGTCTCCCAAGAAGGCATCTGAGCCAGGCAGCTGTTTAGGTTTCATTTCTCCTCACTGAAGCCTGCTCTCTCCGCCCTCCCCTCGTCTTTACACTTCAGTTGGTCCCCTCCACGTGGACTTTCCCATAGCAACACCAGATGGATTCTGCTGCCCACCGCCCCCTCCCCACTGTCCATGCCTGGTCGCTGCATCCACACCCGTGGCTGTCGGTGTGTGTGTTGATGGTGAAAGAGTTGCTGGCCCAGATGGAACACTGTAACCAGAAAAGGCTGCAGCTAAACTCCTCCCCACCCTGCCCCCTATGGACTTGATTGTAACCCTATATCCCCATCCTTAAGAATCTGTGCGCCAATGAGATACCTGTGCATCTCTAATGGCCTTAGGGCGCTGCCCTAAGCTTAGGCTATTTAGATGCCCCCATGCCACGTGTCCGAGAGAGTTCGCCAGAGAGAGAGTTCGCCAGAGAGGGAGTTTGCCAGAGAGAGACCACCGGCCCCGGGTGCAGAGATGCTGCGCCCCGGGGCCAGAGGCGGGGGGCCCCTTCCCCGCATTCCCGGAATAAAGTCACCGCTGCCCACTACTTTCACAGCCGTCC